GGTTTTGTTCTCTCTTTTTTGTTCTTTCATCCTTAACAGCATTGCAGTGACTTCCACCTGAACTCATAGGGTCCCCAGTCCAGACGCAGTCTTCTGTTGTTTGATTGGCATCCCATTAGCTCCCACTGAGACACACTGGCTCTCCGAGATACGTTTCTGAAAACCACGTGGGGATCAAGAGGTGGCTCCTGACTGCCCCTCTGTATCTGATTTTTTGCTCACTCAACTACAACATTTTTCAACCTCCCTTTACAAGGATGGAGAATCCCTTCCCTGCTACTTATTTCAGGTAGAATCCAAGCTAGGGTAGCCTTCCTGTAGGTCTCTGTGGCCTCTTGGGGACATTGCTGCAGGCATCTGTGCCAAAACCAGGCATGCTGTAACTTCAGCCCCACTCACTGCTTTTGGTTACTTTATCGTTATGTGTATATTAAATAGGAGAGAGAGAGAAAGAGAGAAAGAGAGAGAGAGAGAGAGAGAGAGAGAGAGAGAGAGAGAGAGAGAGAGAGAGAGAGAGAGAGATTGAGATTTGCTTGGTAGGGAGGAATTCTCAATATGCATAACTTAAGTCAGAAAAAAAAACCACACGGGAAAACAGACATTTCACTTCTATAGAACAAATAGCACTTTTTCAAAGTAGACATGAGAATTAGAGGATGACAGTTGTTTCCTCCAAAATACAGAAAATTATAAACATGAGGGGATACTCTTTGGGTCCCTGCCAAGAGAAGCAGTGAGCTAAAAGCTAAGGAAGATCTATTCCCCCCCCCCCCCTTTTTCAAAGTATAATTTGTCCACGGACAAGAAGAAAAATGTGATCAGCTGATTCCTTCTGATGAGAGAGAGTGAGCTGTCAAGCGCTTACCATCTGGTTCAGCTCCTCATCCAGATGGGCTGCCAATGGTAATTTATGAAAGGTTTAGAAGCAACATGCTGTCCTCCGGAAAGAGTCATTAGAACACATTAACATTGGGATTTGCTCCTCTCCCCCAACCCCTATTTGTGACAGACGCAATGACAGGGCAACTGCTTCCATACAGCAAATAGAATGGTCTATTTGAGCCAGAAGTCAATATGTCTCTGTTCTTTGGTGGGGAAAAAAACCCCATCATTTTTCTTCCCTCTCCCCTCTCCTTTACTACCTCAATGAATAAGGGAGGAAAAGTTCCCATGATGGAGTTTCTAACGAATGTCTGCAAAAACCTCAGTCTGTTATTTCCGAGTATCTGTGATGCTTGAAGAAGTCAAAATCAACATCGGGAATAATCTGATGAACCCCACACCCATACAGACAGGCACCATCTCCTCCATTCTTATAGAGAAAGTTCAACGGTCAGCCAGTATTTCCAGTGAAATCACAGAACCATAGATCCTTAGACTTGGACGTGTAGTCTACTGTCAGCTGCTCTCCCACCCAAAGAGGCAGCCACACTGCTCCCAAATCAGAACAAAGTGACAGGGCCCTTCTTTCAGCAAGTTCCTCTCACTTGCTCTTAGTTCTTATCCCATCTTTTATTTTATAGGATTGTCCCTTTGTGACTGGTGGAAATCTATTCATTTATTTTCAGCTCATGTAAGAATCGCTGGTAGAGTGAGGTCATATTTGCCCTTTGATGAAACCATTTGCTTTACAGGCTCTGAGAGCATCACCGATGTGCCTGCTCTACATGTTTTAAAATGTTTGGAATGTTCAAAGGAAAGGTGTGGGATCCGTGTAGAAAGTTTCTAACTAAACATGATGGAATTGGGGCGGGTTGTAACCTGCAGATTAGGTTTTCACTAAGAAGGCACAGGACGGGGGTGGCCCTGGGCTTAGGAGTATGACAGATACTAGTATATTCCCTCTGGGACTCAGGGAGAGGGAAGAGATTAATGCCAGAACAGACAGAGATGATCTAGCTGAGGATGTAAAGAAGAAAATAGGAGCTGGCAAGGATAAGCAAGATAACGGAGAATTTCTCATACGGGGGGAGCTGTCTAAGCCCCATATAAGAGTGGTGTACACAGTGGACAGGCAGTAATGCACAGAGAACCAAGGCAATTCAATCTGACCCTGAGGTTTCCAATAGCAGGGGTGGGGACCGTCTGGCCCACGAGCTGTATAAGGCCCTCAACGGTCTGGCCCTGACAAGGCATTAGGGGTGAATTAGTGAAATGTTTGACCAAATACAGAAGGTGATAATTTTGCATGGCCCGCCAATGATGTTATAAATATCCAAATGGCCCTTGGCAGAAAAAGGTTTCTCATCCCTGAAATTGAGGAAGGAAGTACCAGTCCATCTAACTATAAAATGCTAAACCATCAAGGAAGAAACTGGGCAGTCTTTGGATAGCCAAAAGCCTCTGTTAGTGGACAAAGGGCAAAGTAGTCATTGTTTGAAAATGGTTATTAGTGGCATTTTTATACAGTGACTATGCATGTGTTCTTGTTACTTAAAGCTGTTTTCACTTCCCTCAGATATTGATCAAAGTATATTTTATTTCATTTCAAAACATTTATTAGCCTACTACTTGCAAGGCTATGTGCTTAGGACTGCAGAGATATGTGAGTAAAAAAGAATACTGTCCTTTCCTGTAAAGAATTTACAATGCGATTGATACACCCAATGAGGCACAAATCACCACATAATGAGACCAAATCTCCTGGCTCATTGAAAGATCTAGAATGGATAGTCCTTCCAAAGATAGAGGGAGAGATACCCTATTTGATTTATCAAAATTCTAATTGTAAGTTGCTAAAGAGCATTATTCTTACCGAAGGAATGCGTGGTTTTGTTTTGTTTCCTTTTTCCTTTCTCTTTGCTGGTACTGAGCCCCTCTAGTGGCTACTTTGAAAACTACAGTCTGAGAGAAGCTAGTTAATTTCAAAACATGCCAGCCTCTTTCCATCAACACTCAAAGTCAGGGAAAGTGAAATTTGAAAGGAAGAATACCCTCAGCTTTCTACCATGTGTAGCAGTCCCAGAAAAGGGACTGTGAAGTGGTGAAGAGTGTGGACTCTGAAATCAGATAAGCAGGTTTACATCTCCTCTTGGCCACTTCATTGTGACCTGGGAAACCTACCAAGCTTTTCTGTTCCTCAGTTTGCTCATCTGCAAAATGGGGATGACAGTTATGCCCAGATCAGAGGGTAGTTAGGAGAATTAGAAAAGATATGGCTCAAAACATTAAAAATGGTGACTTGCCACAGTGAGTACTCGATCATTGTGCTTAAAAAATATTTACCCATTTATTTCACAAACTTGATTTTCTGTACAGTCTTCTTATAGCATTTATTCACTTTTCTCTTTATCTTTCTCATTCCAGATTTGAATATGCCATAGGAAATTTGAAGCCTATAAGATAGAAGACAATTGGACTTTTAAGTGCTTTTTTTTTTTAAGCATATAATGTCCCAACATCTAAAACCTAGTTAAAATATGATTAGCATTACCAGTGCACTGCTTTTACAGAATTTTGTGGACTTAAGTATCCTAAGAATTATTTCTAAAACTCTCCTGATTTCCTGATTATACTCTTCACTATCTTTGAGTTATTAACAGACAAACTGATCGTGTTAAGTGTAATATTTGTGGAACACTATGTGTCAGGAATAAGATCCCACACTTGAACTTCTCTGGGACTCAGTGACACCCACATTATGCACTTGAATCTCATATTCATTGGGTTGGATCCTCTCACTTCTTTAGGAGCCTCATTGCCATTCCTGTGATGCTGCTTTACCTCTCAGTCCTTGCCCTCATTTCATTACTAATTAAATTCATTTTTGGAGAGTCATCAATTAATTATTTGAGGTAAAACTTCTGAAATCTGTACCTCATTCCAAGATCTTTTTAACTTTGGGTAATTAAATTTCAGAGTTATCGTGTTCATCTTTATCTGTATTTGAAGGAAATGACTGACAGGAAATTAAAGACTTCAACTTCTTGCATAGTAGGAGAGGCTCTGTCTTAGGAATAGGTTGAAAAGGCACAGAGTGCTCATTCCATCAGCAGTGTTCTTTGCTTGTCCTGCATTGCTGGCAGGTTCATGTTGGAAATGATGAGGAAACTTGCTGATCTATCTTCAGATGCAGCTAACGGGGTCCAACGCTGTTTGTTTTAGAGGCATTCTCATTTTATGAACTCTCGTGTCACTTTCCAGTTTCTCATGAGGCCAGGCCAGGTGACACGAGAAATGACAACGTGAGGCTGGGTTTCTTTTTTGTGAACAAGCACATTAGATTCCCAATTGTTGGTGATAACTTGCTTTTCTTCTAATGCACATGTGTCAAACACAAGGCCCGCGGGCCAAATCCGTCCCGCCAGGCCTTGCAATGTGGCCCGCACCGCGCTGTCATCACTGCACTCCTCTGCGTTTCCATCACAATAACAGTTTATGACTGTTCAGTAAACCATTCGGCCCGTGATTTAGGCTGGATTTTAGATTTTGGCCCCTTCTCTGATTGAGTTCGACACCCCTATTCTAATGGATGCAGCCTTGAACATTCGTAATCGTGGAGAACAAGGTCCTTAGTGTTACATCAATATTTCACCTTATTGGCTTATCCGATGTTTTGTTCATTGGCTGATCCACATTTCTATTCAAAGAGCTCCTTTAGATAAATGCAGCTTTAAAACAATACCCCCAGGGAAAATCTTGGCAAGCACATTGTGCTTTTTGCCTTAAAATCCTTAAAATCTCTCCTTAAAAATTTTAAAATCTTTAAAATCCTTATAATAGGAAAAATAAACCTTTAGAGAAGATTATATCTGGTTGTAAAACCCACAACTCATCTTTTCCCTCAGGATGGACTGACTTAAACTAAGGAACATAATTTGGTGTTCTTTTCTGTACTAGGACCATCGCCACTAAAATTTTGGTTATCCTAAAGTCTGAAGCTTGATAACTTTTATCAACTTGTACCTCTCATGAAAGAGCAAATCTACTGTCAGATGTTCCCTGACCCTGGGGCTTCTAGATGGGGGTGGAATGAACTAACAGCTGGCTGTTCCTCTCAGCTCCCGGGGGATGACCGGCGTCCATGAGATGATGGGATGCATCCAGAGACAAGTGGATCATCTGACCGGACAGTGTTCAGCGCACAAGGAGTTTGCTCTCAAGAAACAACAGTTAGCAGCCTCGGTGGAGGGCTACCTGAGGAAGGTAGTTTCATAAAATACGTCCTCCTTAAGATGCAATTTAGATGAACCTTTTGTTTGATGATAATAGATGATGTGGTAATCGCACATGTGGGCCTGAGGGATAACAAGGGGATGTCTCCTTAGGCTTCTCTCGTGGCACATGCTAGGCTTTACAATTGGACAGAATAGAGTTGCAATTGACCATTGTTCATCATCCATCCCTGCCCCATGTGCCAAAACTATATATGTAACCCTTCTTGCCACCCAGCCACAAACATGTATACACAAAAGCAGTTCTAACCATGTGCATGTTTTGATGGTGTCCTTGATTTACATGACTTTCTGCATGGTTCCAATATGCGCAACTTTTAGTTAACATGGAACCATAGAACGTGAGGACATTCGATACATAACAAAAATGGTGAGTTATAAGAGTTCCAGGAATAAATTGCCATCATCGTATTTTATTGAACGAGGCCAGTGCAATGGACATGGTTATTCTGAATATAAGCACACACTTGGAAATCCTTTCTGCAGAGTGAATAGAATGTCTTGGTATGTGAGAATTTTACTTTCTATTTTCAAAAAGGAATGAAATCAGGCAGCTACTATTTGACTAAATAAAAAGTTACTTACCTGTAGGTGGAATATACAGCAAAAACTAATAATATCTCAATGATATTAATGTCTCAAAATTTTATGATAATTTCTTATAATACAATGGATTTATATGCTTAACTTAAGTAGAATTATAATAGGAGACTTCACAGGAGAGTTCATTAGTTAACCATAGTCCCTATTTAAATTGTCACCCCACCTGTTATTGGTCCAGAAACTTGGGAATTTGAGCCTTGTTCTGAGGCCAGGGTTCCAGGGAGATTCCAAATACAGCGGCAGCTGTGGAGCCACATTCCCTAGAGCTTGAGACTCAAGCTAAGTTAGTGGTGATGATGAGGAACCCACACAGCTGTTGCTATTGTCTTACTGCCAGTTCAGAACCCATTTGATCTGGGAAGTATGGGCTCTGGTGAGAGTCCAGATGAAGGCAGTGACTTGAATGGAATAAAACCTTTAAAGGTCACTTTATACATTTATTCATGTGTACATTCTTCACATTCATCAATTACATTACCTAAGTGTGTTCCCATTTTATTATTACATTTATAGGGTTTGGTGCTGCCTCAGGATCCCCCAGCCCTAAAATTAGTAACCCATAAGATGATCTAATACGCAAACTCTAGACCTCTACCTAAAAATGTGCCAGTAAATTGGGCCATGTTCAACTTATAGTGGATGCTTGTGAATTAATTAGATACATTCACTTCTGCATATGTGTTGGCAAGTACATTATCCTGTTTAGATAATACAGACAACAAATTCTTAAGAGGGCATGGATGATTGCTTTTTATCTCATTGCTATTGGTATAATGAAATATTTTAAAACATACACCCTCTACTGGTGGATCAGCAGCATTACCCCATATAAAGAGCAGCATTACTAATTTAAATATGAAATTCTAAAATATTTAAAACTATTTTAGCTTAATGTTGATTTACATTAAAGGATAATGGGAATGTGTAGAGTAATATTTACCTTCTCTATGCATATGCAAATACATGTTCCCTAGGTTACATGTATTTTTTCCTATAGGTGGAAATGTCAATTCAGGAAATCAGTCTAGTACTTTCCAATGCCATGGATGTCAGATCCAGCCTTTCTGAGTCAGAGAAGATTTTGCGTAAATATTTGGAATTAGATACCCAAGCTAAGGTAAATACAATGAGAATTATTATCATGGATACGATTTTGTTAAGATGATTTCTTTATATCTGGTAGCTATAAAACTCCTAGTTCTCATGAGGACTGCAATTCTAAATTAATATTGTGGTAAATAATGACTTAAAAACTCCTACTTTTAGGTGTATCTTTAAACATGCATTTACTAGGGAGTTTGAGCTCATTGAAGTTCAACATTCTAGCCTGGTATTAAACACTCATTTAGCCCCTTTTCCTGGCCTGAAAGATGTTAGAAACTCCTTTTGGGGATCCAGAGGAGGCAGGGAGATTGCATTTATAAGACTATTCGTGATTTTCTACTAGAGTGAGTTACAAAAGAAAATTGCCAGAAGCCACTTGTGTTAATACAAGATTCCAGGAGGCAAATCTTATCTGCACACTAAGACTTAGGAGACAGAAATTGCCCTCCTCTTCCTAGCACCCTCTCTAACCCCCTTTCTCCTTTCCCATGGGACTTAGGTTCAAACATTCTTGCTGGTAGCTCCAGACCTGGCCCAGGTGTTTAGGAAAGTGAGTCACCTGTGGCCCTGGCTCCCCCAACCAGCAGGGGTGGCTGTGCCTCCCCATCAATCCTCAGCAGCATAGCCTCCTTCACAGAGGCACCCGCACCCACAGCTCACAGACAAGCCCATTTGTTTAATGAAGTGTTTGTAATTCATTATTTTGAACGCTTAAAATAAAATATATGTCTGAATTCATTTTTATATTCCAAAATTTCTAGAATTAAGGGAGAAACTCCCCCTGCTTCCTCCTTCCCCGAGTGCAGTCGGGAAGCTGCACTCGTGTATTAAAATCGCCATCATTCAGTGAACGACTTGGGAAGCATATTAAACACAAGGGGGGAAGCCATCCCTTCTTGCTGCAAATGAAAATGAAGTTTTTTTTATTCCTTTTTGCTTGATTCCTAGCATGGTACCACATGACAACTTACGTGGCTTTCTGTGGCAATGGTGTCTGTAATGCCTACAGTATTCACTCATTCACTTTGTCAGTGGTTAGATCCCACATGCCACAAACTGCACTCAAAATAAAGCACAGAAGAGCTACCCTAAGCAAGGCAAATTCACAGACTCTCTAGGCTTTTAGATCCCATATCTAATACTTCCCTACACTTGTTTAAAAATCCTTCTAGATAGCAATTCAAACAAGACTGTGTAATCGATATCATTTTTGTAAATTAAAAAATGAGGAAATAATTTATATAAAATTGCCATTTTGTACATAACAACATTGCTTTAAGAATTTGCTAGAGCTATTGTTAATTTCAAAAACAATTCTGGTCTATACTTATTTTATTTAAATTATTTAAAGTGTTTTTGCCATTTTGTTTTACCACCTTTCATACTGAACAACTTTTCTTCTATTTGTGACAGAATTTAGAATGCTCTAAAAAAAAGTGTAGCTGATAGACTGAAAAATACTTTGAGATGGTTTCTATTTTAAGACACTTTTTTTTTTAATTTTGGAAAGTTGTGCCTTCCTTTTATTCAGGAGAGTCTTGGTTACAAGTTCAATTAATAACCGTTATAGATGGATGTGCAGAAGGTAATGAAATGTGAATGTTCATGATTCCCCTGTCAGCTTCTGACCCTCCGCGCTTTGCTTTCATAGGAAGCATCACATGAATTAGAAGCAGCCACGAAATTTATGACAGAGAAAAATGAATTTGAACCTGATGAAGTGGCTTCACTTTCTTCTAAAGCTAAATGGCTGGAGGAAGAATTAAACATACTTGGCCAAAGCATCGGCTCCAGGTCCCAGGTCCTGCAGACCTATGTGGCATTTTTAAAGTCATCAGAGGAGGTACAGTACCTGTGTGCTCTCTTTTATCAACAAGGTGGCTCCTGTCAGCTTCCTGCGTCCTATGGGGAGGGAAGCCCCGGTGGGTTGTCCCATATCGTCCACCCCAGAGCATGTACTCACTTGTAGGCCCTTGATTCACCAGGGCACCATACAAAACTAAAGCAGAAAGTTGTTTTACAAAAGCACAATACAAATGTGTATGTGTAGATATACATGCAAATAAGCAAAGTGGTTGTGTTAGAACACTTTTTAACTTTGGCCCATAAATATTTACACTATTCTAAAGATAGCACAAAATTATTTAAAAATAAGTCATCTTCTAAACCATGGTGGAAAAGGTACAAAGAAGTGTGTGTTTTCTGCATGGTTTTCTTTAAATGCCTAAGCAATTCACATGGTTCATTTAACAGACACAGAATCGGAAATTATGGGCTTTGAGGTCCAAGCTTAGGTCAATCTTGCGTGATGCCTTTTAACAAGTTGCTTCAGAGAGCTTCTTCTGAGGCAATCTTTGACAGGTTTGTATTAGACAATCTGTAAAATTCCCTCTACTCGAGTAGGAGTCCATGTCTCAGAGGTCCCTGGTGCTTGAAGATAATGCTAGGGTCCCACCTCATTTAACTCTGGTCCTAGTGCACCAGGCTCATGTGGACCCCGCTCTCTTCAGGATGGCAGGCACTGGTTTAGTGGGGGCAGAGCCAGCAGGGTCACTCCGGGGTAAAGCCAACCAAAGTTAGTTAGCATGCTAGATTTCCATCTTCTCACTCCTACCCTGCAGACACCCTCACCCTACCTCTCATCCTGCCATCCTCCTTCCTCTGTCAGTTCTTGGTCTATAATATTCTGAATTCTTGCCCCTCTGATGGAAGGCCATGCCAAGTCCCTGGAAATCTTGGGGAAATGCTGCCTCCTTTCTACCTCTTCACTCATCTTTTATAATTTCTATGATTTAGCTCCAAACTCTCTTGGTTCAGCAGAGGTATTACAACCAACAGCATTATCCTGTTGATGAATGTTTTTACTCAGGATTAGAAATGGTGGAAAAGGTACAAAGAAGTGTTTGTTTTCTGCAACTTTATTGCCAAAAACATACCTCCTTGATTTCTGGTTCAGTTTCTGCTTCCATGACCTACCCTGGCCCCTGGAGCTGTGGGTTTAGGACTGAACCCTTAGCTTTGCAAACACCACCTCCTCAGAAGAACCTATGTTCTTCCCTCTTCCCAGCTTTCACTTAATTGGTTTTCCTAGCTGGCAGAGCCTTCTGTTCTAATGTTGGCAGTGCTCTGACTCTGTCACTCTCCTTCCCCCTCAGGTTTTCCTTCTTTCCTCACCAGCTCATGGTTACTCATTTGCATTCCATTCTCCATGCCCTCAACTTCCTGCCTTCCACCCTGAGGAGCCCTGCCAATTCCCAATACTAGATTAATCCAAGACTCTGTTTACTCAACTTTTCTTCCCAAGCTTCCAGACACTGCTGCAGAAAATCATACAATTGATTGTACAATTGTGCTGATTGGCACTGTTACAAATTGATGGGTCTCTGCCTCAGCTGGGTCTCCCACATGCTCCCTATTGGCACCCATTCAGAAGCAATTTTCAAAAATCTTACCCCAGTTTCCATACTTAAATCTCAGCTGGTGCCCTTACTTCATATGTAACAATAACAACGAAAGAGTCATTGAACTTAACTGCCTTGATTTCTTGGACTTCCAAACCAAACCAATTGATTATTCGCCCCTCTTCCACTGTCACCAATAAAGTCAAGTCCCTACTTCTGTCCAGCACTAAGAGAAAATTAGTCCCTCCCTGTATGTTCCCACATCCTTCAGAATCTAGCTGTACTAGCCTCCTCTAATGTTTCAAATTTGCTTTTTCCACTACTTCCTTGCCTTTGGTCTACAGTTATGCCCAAATGGTCTTGCCCTCATGAAGGCAACCACTCTATACTTTCTTTCCCTTTACATCTGGACTTGACTGGGAAGATGACATTTCTTGTCTTTACTTGTGCACCCTTCCCAGTCCTCATCCTACAGCAATTTAATCCAGCCATCTGCTACCTCTTCACTCCATTGAAAATGTCCTTATAAGTTACTTACTGATAAATGAAATCTCTATTTTCTGTCTTCATTCTGCTTAATCACTCTGCCACATTTATTTAATCCAGTTATTCTTACCTCCTTTGGCTTAAACCCTCTCCCCCCAGATTTATTTAAGTATAATTTATATAGCATACAATTAATCTATTTTGGAGTACAATGATTTTTATTATATTTATTGAATTGTGCAATAATCACTGCATTCTAGTTTTAGGATAGTTTCATCATCCCAAAAGTAGCCCCAGTGCACTTTGTAGTTAATCTTTGTTTCCACTCCCAGCCTTGGGCAAGGACTGACCTGCTTTCTATCTCTATAGATTTGCCTTATTTGGATACTTCACATAAGTGTAATGACTCTGTCTGCTTCATCTGTTCCTTCTTTTTTTTTCCTAATTTGGTTCCCTGTTCCTGAAGTATGGAGGGTCCCAGAGTCATGCTTTTCCTATGAAAATTACACACACACACACACACACACACACACACACACACACACCCCTGTGGTTTCAGTTCACCAATAATTCAAAAATGGTCCCTCCTTACTAAGCCCGTAGCATTGTGTGTATATTGATTGTCCTTGTGTTGTAATATCTTGCTTTTGGTTATCTTTCTTCCAGAACTATCTTTGGGAATCCAAGGAAATAAATGCTAATTCTTAGTAGGACAGACTTTTTGGAGGAGGTAGCCATTCAACTAGCTCATGAAGGATGTGTAGGAGCACAACACTGAGAAAAGATCATTCTGGGCTGAGGAGATAAGAATCAGCAAAACAGGGTCATGAATAAATAGAACATGGGAAATGTAGAGAGCACGTCTGTTCCTGAGGCCATTTGCAGGCTCTTCTATTAAGTTCATTTTAATTAAGAATGTTGTTAAAAATTTTAAAACACAGTGACTAACCATCACCTGAAATTTCTACCCTGTTTAGATTGATTTTGGTAGTCACAAGCTCTTTGAGTCTTGTCCATTGACCATTAAATATTGTTCAAAATGCATAAAAACTTGTGTCAAAATTTCCCACTGTTTCTGTGTCAGCCAATTAAATGTTCATCTTTAGTTCTATCACCACATTCTTTTTGCTATCACCACATTTGATTTTATATAAGCTCTTTTCAAAGAGAGTGATTGAAAATAATCCAGTCCTACATACATTGGTTAGCAAAGGAAAAAAAAATGTAATTCTAAGGAGATCAAGTAATATACTTGATAAGATTAGGTCATGGAAGCAGTTGAATATTAACATTTGTACCGAAAATTAGTAATTGTATTCTCATTCAGGTTTATCACTGATTCAAAGTAAATAGTGAGTTACTAATATTTCACTGACTTATATTTATTTTCTCATTTATTTCTTGTCTAGCTTTCCTCTGAATTATAAAACTCAGCTTTAAATATTATCACACCAGTATTTGACATAAATTGTCCCCAATTGCAAAACACACATTACACAAAATATATAAATATGATTTGGGTCACAGTAGGTCTTAGAGATAATAAACTTGTTAGTTCAATTTATTGCCCAGTAGTAGTCTGGTCTGTAAACAGCTTAGATAGATTCTAACATCGTTTTTAATAAATTGACAATGCTTAAGTTATTTAAAGAATCCTGGCCCTGGCCACAGGGGCTCAGTTGGGTGGAACGTCACCCTGTGCACCACAAGGTCCCGTGGGTTTGATTTCCAGTCGGGGGACATACCTGGAGATTCAGTTATCAGCTGGGGCATGTAAGATGTTGTTTTTCTCTCTCTCTTTCCCACCGTCCCTATCTCTCTTCCTTTCTCTGAAGAAAAAAAAAAAAAAAAGGTCTGAAATGTAGTTTCCATTTAATTTTCACATAAAGCTTTTATCGAAATCTTGTGTCATTTTCTTTAAAAATGTTTGCAAATATTCTTCTCTTGGATTTGTGTTTTCTCTTTCTTTCTCTCTCTCTCTCTCTCAGGTGAAGGAGCAATGTGAGCGTCTGAAGGAGTTTTACCGAATGGAAAGCCTGAGGAAGGAAGAGGACTCTGCGGAAGCCAGGCACTGGTCTGACTCAGCTGAGAAGCAGTGGCAGCTCTTCTTAAAAAGGAGTTTTTTAGTTCAAGACCTAGGGCTTGAGTTCCTTAATTTGATAAATATGGTGAGAATAACATTATGTGAGTCACACCTTCTGCAAGGATTACTTGTCAAAGTCAAAATTATAAATTCAGAACTTCAACTATCCATCGTCAGGGTGGGTTTAGAAAGTTTGTTTTTTTTTAGCTTCATTCAATCTAGAGCAGTGCCAAAGCCTAGCACATCTGTGTTTATTTAGTCTTACACTTCCCGTAAGTTATAACTATCTACAAGAAAGATTGGCTCTAATCCAAATGCAACGTTTTTATTCTTACATGGACGTTCACCCTAGGGTTCTAAATTATGCTGAGAGCCTCCAACGAAGTCCTGACAACATTTCCAGTGGCGCAGGTGAACATCTAGGCTGAATCTTCATTTTGAAGAATTTCTTCCTATAGCATATCTTTCTGTAGTGAAGCTCTGTCATATTTACAAATGTATCCTAAACTTTAGTGGTCCGCTTATGTCTGTAAAATACTCTAGAATCCTCTGATCAACCTCTGACCCATATGAAGTTCTCCACAGAATTCTTAAAAGATGCTAATCCCCTTCTCCTTCAAGTATCTTCCTCATGAAACTGCTCATTTCATTGTTAGAAAATAAGAGCTGCTAGAAAACATTTTTAAAAAACGTTAAGTCAAATCTGTCTTCATACCTGGTTCTAACCCTATGTAGTTGCATGAGGTAAGGGGAGACTATTCATATTTGATTTCTCTTACATATGAAAGTCCTTCAAACATTGCAAATAATTGCTATATCTAATCTGGGAGTCCTTTCTCCAGCAAACCACATGCAAATCCTTTTTGTCAATTATGAGGCAGCTTCATTTCTCTCTCCATCCTGATCCCCAAAATGTTTATGGTTTGTTAAAGCTATTCATAAAGTGTAACCCAAAAGTAAAGTGCAACTTTAACACAGAGTACAACAAAGTGGACATCATTCTTTACTAATGAGTCCTAAGGTAATGCATTCATTTTTAGCCATGACTTCACTATGCTGGTTCATATTAAACTTGTGATTGAATATAACTCCCATGAATTTTTATTACAATTCCTGCCAAGCTAGGTCTCTCCCATTTTATATCTGTGTTAGGTATTTATCTTTTACATACAAATGTGGGCCTCTATATTTATTTCTATTCAGTGTCATCTTGTTCATCTTTACCCATGATTCCATCTTGTCAAACTAATTTTGCATCTGCTATCTACTACATTAGCCATCTCTCCTGGGTTTAATTCTAATCTACCTAATATCCTATCAATTGCATGAAAATAATTTGGCAGAAATCAGGTTGGCTCATAGTGAGCAAGAGATTCTTTCCAAAGTGCTCACAAACTGCTTGATCAATGATGAACTCGGCTTTCACTGTAAAGCTTTCCAATCTGTAAACTCTGTAGCCCAGTCTCCCCGCTTTGAAAATCAAGGCATTTTTCTTTCCCTAATTGCCTGGCCCTCCTCCTATTTTCTGTAGACTTGCAAAGATAACTGACATCTACAATTTTCTCCGTACTCTGGAATGTGATTAATCTCAGCCTGGAGCCTGAATTCACTTGGAAGAGTTAGGTTTTGTCTAACTACCCTCATCTACTTTCAACTGCAATTTTCTCTTTGTTTTTTTGGTTCAAGACCTAAGGCTTGAGTTTCTTAATTTAAAAATTATGTGAGAATGACATTATCTTCTTTGTTTCAATCTTTGTTGTTTGAAAGCCAAGCTTGTTCAATTTGTGTGGAAACAAAATATTCATGAAACAGTTCTGACATATCTTATACTACCTTTAAGCATCAGAGGAAACTTGCTAAGCAATTTGCCCATATTCTTATGTTATCCAGGTGCTGTTTGTAAAAACAATTGTTGTTTTTCATTTGGAATATTTAGAACATCTATTACCTACCTACCTACCTACCATTTATTTATCTTTTACATTTTTACTTTGTTCAGTATATATTCTTCCAACTCTTGATTGTGTACTTCTCTAATTTGCACTCTTAAGTGAATTCAAATATTTGCAAATTGCATTTTTTGCTTAATTATTACTAACTTCATTTCAGAAATTTTACTTTTTAGTTCTGTAGTTTCCATTTGATTGTTTTGATTGAATTTATTGGATGGCATTAGTTAATAAAGTTATACAGGTTTCAAGTATGCAATTCAATAATACATCATCGGTATATTGTATTGTGTTTACCACTTCCAGTCAAATCTCCTTCCATCACCTTTTAATCCCCCATTACCTTCTACCTCCCCAACTTCCCACTGGTAATCACTATACTGTTGTCTGTGTCCATGAGTCTTTCATCTTTCTCCTCTCTCTCTCTCTCTCTCTCTTTCTCTCTCTCTCTCTCTCTCTCTCTCTCTCTCTCTCTCTCTCTCTCTCTCTCTCTCTCTCTCTCTCTCTCTCTCTCTCTCTCTCTCTCTCTCTCCTTCTCTCTAGTTAGATTTCAGTTGCTGATTAAATTATCTTTCCTATCCTTTCATTCTCATTCTCCACCTTTGCTATACATATATCTGAATCAATTTCAGAGAAGGGAGAGGGAGAGAGAGAGACAGAAACTTCAATGATGACAGATAATCATTGATCAGCTGCCTCCTGCACACCCCCTAGTGGGGATTGAGCCCAAAACCCGGGCCATGTGCCTTGACCTGAAATTGAACAGTGATCTCCTGATTCATAGGTTGACGCTCAACCACTGAGCAACACTAGTTGGATACTTTTTTAGCTGTATTAATCACGGGCATTTAAAGTGTGTGTTAGCTAATTCCTGCATCTGGATCTGAGTTGTCTACTTTTTCTCTTGCTTTCCAGTTATGTAGTCCTGTTTTGGTAGGACTAGTGAAAATTTATCAAATGTCAGGTGTTATGTTTAAAAAATGAATCCTTTACCCTAAGCTTCTTACCACTGTCTTATGATAAATAAATTCCTCCTTATTGATAAGAATTATGGACCAAATAATAGTTAACTTCATTGGTTCAGCATCATTCTGAGGTAGGGAATTGTTGGTAAAGCAAGTGAAACACATTTTTTATTCTCATATCTTTTGGAGCATTAGGCTTTTAAACAAACATTATTGTCGAAATGTGGTAACCAGTTTGGCTGTTAAGAAGGGAGAATGCCAGCTGGCATTTTCCGCCCAGTGTTGCGCTCTTGATTGGGCTGCCGTGGCTCATATTTTCAAGCTGGAAATTAAAAAATTTTCAGTTCATCTAAAAGTCATCAAGATTAAAGAAGCTGAGTTAAGTGAGAAATCTGGCAGACATCTTGATAAAAGTGCCAGTTTACAAATTCATAGTGGTAAACGCAAAGATGTTATTTGGGGCACCGCCTTCCTGTTATCAAGGAATCTAAAAAATAAAAATAAAAATAAAAAGATATCAGAAGAGCACTTATTGTGCCTGCATATAAATGGAAAATTGAGAATTGAGTGCCCTGTTGGGCTAGGTTATGGCAAAGTTTGCCATGCCCTTCCACAGAAGTAGAGTGAATAGTGTGTTTACTAACTAGACCTCCTGTAGATTAATCTTCCTGAGAGGTCAAAACACTTACGTCTGCCAAGTACATAATCACTGTTTTTGCATCCTGCCAGCCAGACATCAACAAATGCTGCTAAATCTCTCCTTTTTCCAGACTTCACTCAGACCATCACTCCCTGCTGAGTATAGCTGTCATTGGCATGCTGCAAGGTCCACAGTTACATTAAACTGTGTATTACATTACATTTTGATCAGTAGTTTCTTAATAAAAGATGAAAGATACCCAGTCTTTATTTATAGCATAGATTAAAATTATGATTTGGGCTGGATCTGGCTGAAGTTATCAAATATATTTCATAATATTTAGCATCTTTTAATCATAATTACAAAATGTATCATTTGATTCCTAGATCCCCAAATTCATGGGCAAAAAAATATCTTTAGGGCCTGCAATTATCGTGTTTTTTTGCAATTAATTGGATTTTTATAATGTCTGAATTAATATAAGAATATAAATAGACAATATTATTGCTATTTAAATTAATTTAAAAATAAGATGGGTTATTATTTAAAAATATCCTGTTACAATTTTAGGACACCATCTTCTGACTACAATCTAAGAGGTCCCTGGACTTTTAAAAAGATAATTAGTTGCCATTGTCATTATAAAAATCCATGTACATTTGCTCCTTAGAAAGTCAAGGATTTATTGAGAACAGCCGGTCATCAAAGTAAAAATCATGGTTTTGCCAAACAAAGATTCTTCTGCATTTTTCCATGTTTGTGCGTAAAATAGCACATGATCTTACTCTTTGCCTCCCTTATCTTTCTTCCTCCAATTAAATTTCGCCTTGTTTAAAACCATTGTTTTAAAGATTTCAAATCAGTTAGCCAGGGCATCTAGAAGTTGCTAAGGGAAGTCTTTAAACTTAGATACTGTGCTTCTGGTTGCACAATAGACATACAGAAATAAAGATACGGATACACATTTCAGTTCTCACAAAAGGAAGTAGCTCGAGGAACTGGGAAACTTAGAATCGTTGTAATATATACAATGGAGAAGCTTAAGAAAAGATGGCCCAGAGCAATTTGCCTTCTCCTATTCCCTGATACCCAGGTTGTGACATCTGCTATTGAGAGTGTTAAAATGAAAGGCAGAATACACTTTAAAATGTATGCATTAAGGTAATCTTCACTTTAATATTTCTGTGTACCCAGGAGCTTATCCAGTCACCCTTTAGAACCCCAGGAAATAGACTCCAGCAGGTGACTCCAGCAGCACTGGGTGCTTGGAGAACTCAGGACCTGGTGCCCACGCAGGGAACATGGGTTCTGAGAGCCTAGCCAGGCCCCTGAGCAGGCAGGCGCGCTCCTGCTTTGCCTTGCTGTTAGAACCGTCCCTGCTCTGCTTTGGTTGTGATCGTGACTGCCTCCTAGAGTAGCTATCTGGAAAGATGTTGCATTTCTTGGGAAAGAAAAGCCATTATGCGGATTGTTAATTTTAACAGGCAAAAGAGGGTGAAATATTAAATGTGAAAAACAAAGTGCACATGACGGAGAACACTATGGAAAGTCAGAAGGCAGAAAGGGAAGGACTCGGCCGCCTTCGGACGGCATGGCGACTCAGAGCCGCTGCACGCAAGCCGGTGAAACAGCAGTGGGAAGCGTTCAAAGAGCAACTGAGAAAGGTGAGGAGCACGCAGTGGGGGACATTCAGTCTTCAGAAGATAGATATAGAGACAGTAAAGCAACAGGCAGACTGTCAAATTACAGCGGGAAGGGTCGGGAGATCTGGGGGAGAGAATAGATCAACCGAAGGACTTGTATACATGCATATAAGTACAACCAATGGACACAAAACTCTGGGGAGGGAGGGATTGTATGGGGGGGCAATGGTAAGGTATGTACACAGATAATAATTTAACAAAAAAAATAAAAAAAGAAAGAAATTAGATGAAATCCTGACACATGGTACAGCATGGAAGGACCGTGAAAACATTATCCTAAGTGAAATTAGTCAGATACAAAGGGATGAATATGATATTCTGCTTATGTGAAGTACCTGGAGTAGTCACATTCAGACTAGAAGTCACCAGGGGCTGAGATGAGGGTGGGAATGGGAGTTAGTGTCTGATGGGTACAGAGCTGCATTAGGGATGATGAAGAAGTTCTGGGCTGGACGGTGGTGATGGTTGCACACCCACGAGAATGCTAATGCCACCGAACTGCACACTTAGAAATGGTTAAAATGCTCAACCGTGTTATGTCTATTTTACCACAATAAGACCAAAAGAGGGAAGGGAAACCGAGGGCTCATGCTTTTCTTCATTAATGGGGTTTAGAACCAGGAGCTCACTTGAGGTCATGAGTATTCTCATGGGATTGAAAAGTTTAACGACACACCATGTCATCACCAGAATGACCATAGTGTATTTGCTGATGGTGGCAAAGAAAACATACGCTTAACCATCCCACGTTTATTTCAGACTACTCACAACTTAAAACTTCTTCAGGAAGCACTCATGCCTGTGTCTGCACTTGACCTTGGCGGGAGCCTCCAGACCATTCTAGGTCTGAGGAAACACTGGAAGGCAATGAAGCCTCAGTGCCAGGTAAAGCAACAAACGGATGGACTTGGGCGAATGGAAAACATTTTTTAACCATTTAATTAGTTTACCTAATTAATTTTAACAGACTGGTGAATTACTTTTTTTTTTTTTTAAGCATTGCTTGTCTAAAAATCCACTTAAAAACACACTGTTCTTATGTGTGTGTGTGTTTTTTTTCCCTCTCACTATTTTGTATTTAATGATACACAAATATTTGGGCTGTAAAATGTCCTCAAGGTAGTCTTATCTTAGATGATTTTAATTTGCATTAAATTATTTTCTTATTAATGTAATCAGCATACCTAAATGCACTGTAGTCATTTTCTAAGGGTTAGAGTCATCTCTGAACAAGGACGGGCACCCGCTGACACAGAGGCTAAGCTGCCCTCTGCCCCTGAAATGTCCTAAGTGATGTCACTGTTTCCAGTCTCTGGCGCCTACCGCCTTCCCAGGAATTTTGCTGCGCTCACCTATTTCCCTCTGAGAGCTCTCAGGATGGGAGAGATAAAACCATGAGTCATGCTCCCAGTCCCTGGCTGCTAATGCATTCCATCCCCCCACCTGCTGCACTTCTAAACTCAGGTCAATTGCCAAACAAGGTCACCAGGCATGTAATCCTCCCGACTGGATTACAAAGTTAAGATACCTGTGCTTCTGTTTGTCAAAACTTTGGAAGTGTTGGCTATAAAGAACCCCAGAATTAGAAGACAGAGGGTTCTTTTACAGAATATCTAATTTACATAAATTTCCCACAAACCTTCATAGTATATAATCAACCCCCCAACCCCTCACGCCCATCTCCCCCAAACACACAAACATTGTAGCCCACAGTGAACTCTTAGAAAATCCAATTAGCCTATATATATGTGAGGTTTATTTATGTGCCCTGTGTTGCACGCTTATTTGCATTTTATGTGTGCTTGTGTGTACCTGCCCTACACATGCAAGAGTGTGCGTATGTGCAAACTCCTCTACATTAGCTTCTGTCTAGCTTCTTTAGCTCTGTCTGTGATATGCATATTTTTTGATGCCCACCTGCTTGATTTAAACTTGAAGACCCTTATTAGGTCACTCTTCTGCAAATTATTTCCTTAGCCTAAATCATTTCCACTATTTTTATCTTTGCTGTAAGATCCAAAATTATAGTAGCTTCCTCTCTGAGTAGTCCATGCTTTGCAAATTCTACCCCAGGATCTGGAACTATATGAGGGATGTATGAGTAGTGCTGGGTAAAAGGGAAGACAGTTTATCCCTCCCTAATTGAGGTGGCTATTTGTGGATTCAGGGGCGGCCACTTTTGAAGCAGCATATCTAGCTGTGCTACTCGGCTGTGGTTCATTCTGATCATTCTTTAATCACGAGGACAAGCAATTCCCCTAATATATTTTTATACTTTGTTTCTTTTGTTGTTCTTACTAGACCACCTGATTCTAAATATTACAGAGGCTCATGGCTTCATAAAATATCTGGTCATGGCTGATTTGGCTCAATGGATAGAGTATCAGCTTGTGGACAGAGGGGTCCTAGGTTTGATTCCTAGGTTTGATTGAGCCCAAGTCCCAGGCACCTGCCTGGGTCGTGGGCTCAATCATCAATAGGGGGCACGCAGGAGGCAGCTGATCAAAGATTCTCTTTCATCATTGATGTTTCTGTCTCTCTCTCTCCCTTCCTCTCTGAAATCAATAAAAATATGTTTAAGAACTATTTATGAAATGCATTTACTTAGCAGACAACTAGAATATTTGGTGAGCTATAGAAATACATGACCTTTCATTTCACCACCTAACTTTTATATACTTTTTTTTTTCATTTTTCACAATAAAAAAAAATCTGAGAAGATAGGGATGGAAATATACTCCTAGCATTAAATACAATACCTGAATTTACAGGAGAGGGGGTTGAGGCCCACAGAAGTTTTTGTTAACAAATGAGAGAATGGTTGATAGATCTTCATATAGTCCATTATTAAGTAAAGAGCTCTCTGAAAGTTGGATTTCTTTTATGGTTATCAACATTTTAGCAACTGAATGATGAGGTCGAATACATTGTAAAAGAATCAGAAGAGTTAAATGGCAAAGGTGCCCCTGTGAAAGAAAAGTACCAACAGCTGAAGGACCTCATTCAACTCCATCAAAAACAGAAAGAGAGGATCCAGGACTATGAGGACATCCTGTATAAGACAGTCCAGTTTCACCAAGTCAAGGAAGAGGTGAGCCTTGTCATAGATGTCTGCAAGACCCTCCGTTCTAAAGTGGAATATAAATCATTATATAAGTAAAAGCCACATTGCTTACTCTATTAGCAGCTTTTCACATCTGGCCTCCAAGGTCTCCCTCACTGCATCTCTGTCCTCCCTTATATTTCAGCCAAACAGCCCCTCTCTGTCCCTCAGAGATGGTGCACATGTCTCCAACTCTTTGACTCCCAGGCTGCCATTACTTGACAGGCATTTTTCTCTCTTCATGACTCTCTAAACCAGTGTTTTTCAACCTTTTTTGGGCAAAGGCACACTTGTTTCATGAAAAAAATCACGAGGCACACCACCATTAGAAAATGTTAAAAAATTTAACTCTGTGCCTATATTGACTATATATAAAGTAATTCTCTTGAATAGGAATCAAATAAACACAAAGAAAGTATTTTATAATTACTTTATTATGAAATATTAAGTAAACAAAATAGTGAAAAATTATAAAATTCTTGTCTTGTCTGCACCTACGGCACACCAGGCAACATCTCGCGGCACACTAGTGTGCCGCGGAACAGCGGTTGAAAAACGCTGCTCTAAACCCTGCTTCTTCTGCCAAAGATCTTCCTCGCTTGGACTGACTTTCCTCTCTTCTAAATTTCTAGAACTCTCATTAGTTACTCCACTTATCTGTCATTGTAGCATCTTGATTTTTAATAATTTTTAACCCAAACTCAAGTGTAAGCTTTTTGAGTTGAAATTTGAAATTTGAATTGTTTTTGAATTGAAAACAAATTCGATTTTTTTTCTTTTTTGTATCTCAAGTACCTGACAGCATAGAGTATGCAGTAAAATTCATTGTAGATGGATCACGAGAATTTTTGCTTCAAATTGCACAGTGTTTTATAAAGTATCATACTTTAAAAAGATATTAGCTTGTAAGAACATGTAATAAATAACTTCAAAATGCAATGGATATTTAATTTTAAAGTGTGCCTTTAACATTTATGTAAAACATTTTTTGTAGTCATTCAACAGAAACTTATCTGGCCACTGGGTAAAGCTAGCAATAAAACTAGTGGTCTGCAATGTGTTAATAGCCTTTATTAACAGAAAATAGAGATGTATTGGTATCTCTTTAAAACAGCCTCTGAACTTACTCAGGTCATAGACCTAGATATTCCTAAGGTTTTAGACTATAACAAAAAAAGAGTGTTTTCTTCTTTAATAGAAAGAAGACAACATTAGCCTCTCAGGTTTACCCTATAGATTTGCAGCATTGTAACTCTTTTTAAAAAATATATTTTATTGACTTTTTAAAGAGAGGAAGGGAAAGGGATAGAGAGACAGAAACATTGATGATAGAGAAACATCGACCAGCTGCCTCCTGCACACCCCCTACTGGGAATGTGCCGCAACCAGAGTACAGGCCCTTGACTAGAATCAAACCTGGGACCCTTTAGTCCACAGGCTGACGCTCTAGCCACTTAGCCAAACTGGTTAGGACAGCATTGTAACTCTTATTTGGTTATACCACTAATAATTATAGATGGACTTGGCAGCATTTGACAAGCTAGGAAAATATGTAATAGGAAGTAGGCTTTAAAAATCTGTCTCCAGCCGAAACCGGTTTGGCTCAATGGATAGAGCGTCGGTCTGCGGATTGAAAGGTCCCGGGTTCGATTCCGGTAAAGGGCATGTACCTTGGTTGCGGGCACATCCCCAGTAGGGGGTGTGCAGGAGGCAGCTGATCGATGATTCTCTCTCATCGATGTTTCTAACTCTCTATCCCTCTCTCCTCCTCTCTGTAAAAAATCAATAAAATATATATGTATATAAAATCTGTCTCCATAAAAATGAAACACAAGTTAATTGTAAATGCTTTGTGTTCCAGCTTGAACATCTCAAATCAAGAGAATTGGAGTTTCTAGAGCAGCCAAAGGAACTGGATAACGCGCACAATGTCCAGGTTCGCCTCCGTCGCTCTCAGGAAAAGCAGGCACATATAGACCATCTCCACAAACTGGCCCTTTGCCTGGGAGTGGACATCATCTCCTCAGTGCAGCAGCCGGTAAGCCACTCAGAACACCATCACTCATCCCTAATTATAGCTGGGGTGTCATAGCGGAGAAGCCAGGCAGACTGCCTGGTGTGTGTTATATTTAAGAATGCATTAAAACATGGGGCAGTTTTCGGTGGTGAGTTTCTACCATCTATAACAAAAGAAAAACATTTTAAGAAGAAAAATATGATTATAAAAGTCTTTTTTAATATATCTATTTTCATGCTGATTTAAAAAATTGTAGAGATGTGTTTTCTAATATAGCAGTTAGTTTTTTTTTTGCATTTGAAATGTGCTCAGTGCAACTAAGGAACTAAACTTTTAATTTAATTTTTAAAGTTTACAATGTAGTTATTTAAATATGTTTGGAATAGCTTGGATATTTCCACTTTAAACTAGAGACTATGAAACTTAAATACAGATAAAGTATTTCTGATAGAAATGTAGCAAAAATTGAGAGGTGCTATGAGTGTGAAATGTATGCCAGATTTCAAGCACTTCATATCAAAAAACTTATTAATATCTTTATATTTGGTTATGTGGTAAAATGTTGACATTTGGATCTAGTTGATTAAACTCTATTATGAATATTAATTTCATTTTTTTCTTTTACTTTTTAATATGACTACTAGAAAATTTAAAAGTATTCATGTGGCTCCTGTTTTACTTCTTGGACAGTATGCCATGTTAGCATTGCAGGTCTGGAAGGTATCCTAGAAATCACCTGGCCCAGGACCCTCACTTTATAGATGAAGAGCCTGAGGCCCAGAAAAGCTGCTTTAGCATAAAAACCCATCATGAAAGAGCCCCCTGGTGGAGGCCGAGGGCTCTGGGCACTATCTTTGAACTGTTTGATTCCACAGGATGGGTGAACCTTACAAAGGTGTCTAATGACAAGGAAATCATTCCAGACCAAATTTTCATAAATAGCACATTGGGCTCTGATGCAAAATATATGTATATTTGAACTTGAAATTATATATATACTGAGTGGCCAGATTATTATGATCTCTGAATGCATAATAATCTGGCCAGAGCATATCCTATATAATAAAAGGCTAATATGTAAATTGTACCCTTGAACAGGAGTTCAACCAGCAAGCAGGCTGGCCAACTGCTCATGTCTCCTCCCCCTGGCCAGGCTGGCTGGACCTCACCCATGCACAAATTCATGCACTAGGCCTCTAATATATATATATTAGTGCACACACACACACACACACACACACACTGAGTGGCCAGATTATTATGTGTTCAGAGATCATAATAATCTGGCCATATATATATATTCTCCTCAGCCCAGCCTGCACTGTCTCCAATCAGGAACCCCTTAGGGGATGTCTGATTGCCAGTTTAGGCCCGATCCCCAGGCAGTTGGACATCCCTATCACAATCGGGGACTGCTGGATCCTAACTGCTCACCTGCCTGCCTAACTGATCACCCCTAACTTCTCCCCCTGCCAGCCTGATCATCCCTCACTGACTCTGCCTGCTGACCTGATCACCCCCAACTGCCTTCCCCTCATCCACAGCCTGCTATTCAATCATTTGGTTGTCCCTCACTAACCACCCCCTGCTGATTCGGTTTCACCATGCAGCCTGCTATTCAGTCATTACTGTTACTGTGATAGAGTCCCAGACAATTTCCATATTCCTCTATTATTAGTATATATATATATATATATATATATATATATATATATATATATCTCCTCTATTAGGCGTCCTCAAACTTTTTAAAGTGGGGGCCAGATCACGGTCCCTCAGAGAGCTGGAGGGCCGGACTATATGAACTACTAATTCCTACTGTAACACCTCGGCTGCGCTCACTGCCCAAAAAACCTGGCGGGCCGGATCAGACTCCTCTGCGGGCCGCATGTGGCTCGCGGGCCGTAGTTTGAAGACCCCTGCTCCTCTAAACTCTCAATTTGAGGGAAAGATTATGTTTATTCTGTAGAATATTAATTGAAATAATGGACAATTTTATTTTAAAGTTTAAGTATCCACTAAACTCTATGGTATGCACTGAACCTAAAGTATTTTTTTTTTTAATTAAAAGATCTAGGAATAAAAATATCTGCTAATGCAATCTAGTTTTACCAAGAAGGGGCTTTTTAAAAAAGAGTTTTATTTTATTAATAAATTTACTTTAAAAAGAAAGAAATAAGACGCCTCAGTTTGCACAAATAATGCGAATTGTTCTCTAGTCTCCTCTGGCCTTGGTCCTGGCAGCCCTCTGCCGAGGGGAGATTGGAGGGAGCACTTGCATAATGAACCTGAGCTGAAGCTCCGGTTGACAGGAAAATTACTGCGCAGAAGCCAAATGTTTCTAATGCTTGATTTCTGCCTTTTGAGGTAAAAATTACACCTTGTAATGAGTGGTGTCTCTGAGGAGCTAGTGTGATGTGCAGGCTTCAAAACTGAAGTTTCAAGAGTGGAAGTGGAACAGTTCGCCTTTCCCACCATGCTGGGTGCCTGGCTTCTTTGTGAAATCCTTATATTCAGATATGCTGAAGGTATTTCAGAAGCCTGTTTTTTAAAATGTCATTCCTGAATTTTACAATGCAGGTAAATAGCCTACTTGTTGCCCCGCTGCTTTGCCTGTTCCCTTTGTTACTGCTATTTCTCTTTTGCTTTCAGAGCTGCGCTAATGTGTCTGCAAAGAACCTGCAGCGGCAGCTGGACATCCTTGAGGGGGAGAGTGTGGACTGGCGAGCCAGAGCCGAGGAGCATGGGCGGGCCCTGGCCGGCAGCTTGCAGTACTGCGCCACGAGGGATGAGATAAACGAGGTGGGTGGAAGGGGTCAGACCGACACATTACCAAGAGCCTCTCTGAGCCAACACTTGTCTCAATGTTTGTGTTTGCACGTATACACACACATAGAATCAGGAGACTTTCTTTACACTCTTGACATTGAAAAATTTTTTTCCTCTCACCAGAGGATATTTTCCATTGCTTTTCAGAGAGAATTGAAAGGGAAGAGAGAGAAGGGTGGGGGAGGGAGGGAGGGAAAGAGGGAGGGAGGAGGCAGAGAAAGAGAGAGAGAGAGAGAGAGAGAGAGAGAGAGAGAGAGAGAGAGAGAGAGAGAGAGAAAGCATTGCTGAAAGAGACACATCAACTGGCTGCCTCCTGCAAGTGCCCTAACTGAGTACCTGCAACCCAGGTACATGCCCTTTGACTAAGAATTGAACCCTCAACCTTTAGGTGCGTAGGCCGATATTCTAACCACTGAGGAATACCAGCCAGAGCACACTCTTGACTTTTAATCCACGGAGCAATGGTCTCAGAACTCAACGTTTGAGTAAACGTCAAGCTTCCAAACTTGTTGAAGTCAGTACCTTGTCAATGCATCGAAAAACCTAGAATTTAATGTTACAGTTTATTGAATACTTTTTTCTACCCCCTGAAATGCTTATAGCACGTATCTGCTGAGTGCATGCAGCCTGCCAGGGCAGGAAGGGTGACACTGACCCTTTGCAGTCAGCTCCGCCTGTGGAGGTTCTATTTAAGTGCCACTGACTCATGGTGGAGCAGATGCTAAGGGCCAGGAGAGTGGGCTCTTTGCCTCAGAGGCTACAAAGTCAAGTATCTGATTTTTTTATTTATTCAGAATGGCTTTCCTGGCAAAACAACTCCTAGAGAAAAAGAATGAACAGATGAAAATTGTCCTTCACATCCATGCCCTCCTGTATCACATAATTCGACCTCCTCTCCCTCAATTCTACTTGACCCCCCAATCCCAGGTACATATTGGACCACAACCACTTGCCCTTCCCTAATTAAACTTTCCACTCAAAGCCCTACTTGTTCAGGATAGCAAGGGTCCCAATTCTCGACTGGGGGTTGACAGAACACAAGATTTCATGATTTCAGATCTACCCCCATTTTCAGCAAAATGTCTCTGAATCCATTAGTCACAAATCTATTAGGAAACAGGGTGGGGAAGAAGGAAGTAAACCAACTTTAAGGTTCTGTTTATGACCAGTTTATAGGATGTAGCCCCAAAAATCAAACATTATCAAACATTAGAGCATGGACTAAAGTATTTGTAACTGAACTTGAAGAGCCCTTTCCTGCAGGCCACACTTTCATAAACCACAGGGAAGGGCAGAGGCAAGCACTGCTAGAAGGAAAGTAAGAGGGAGCAGAGCAGGAGAGGCCACTTGGATCCCATTCAACAGGAGGGAAGCAACAACTAAATCAATCACGATGTTCATTTTAGCAATGTGCTACAGGACTATAGTTTCTACACAGAAGATGTTCCAGAGAGTCATTCAGGGTTAAACTCATAGTGTATCCTGCCCTCTAGGTAGTCGAATTGCCTCTTCTGCTTTCTGTACTGCCATTAACAAGGAAAGCAATCTTAGGAGAGCATTATTCTCCCCAAAGCTATACAATTTAGATTTGCAGCCATGAAAACAATGTGTTTACTATCTTTCCCCAAAATTATCATCTTTTCTTCTTCTTCCTTCTCCCCATCTTTCTTTCTTTTTTTTTCTTCTTTAAAAAAAAATATATTTTATTGATATTTTACAGAGAGAAAGGGAGAGAGATAGAGAGCTAGAAATGGCAATGAGAGAGAAACATTGACCAGTTGCCTCTTGCACACCCCCTACAGGGGATGTGCCCACAACCAATGTACATGCCCTTGACCGGAATTGAACCTGGGACCCTTCAGTCCGCAGACCGATGCTCTACCACTGAGCCAAACCGGTTCTGGCTCCCCATCTTTCTTTTCCTCCTTCCTCCTTCTCCTCCCTTCTCCTTTCCTCCTTCTTCTCCTCCTCCTCCTCCTCCTCCTCCTTCTCCTCTTCCTCCTCTTCCTCCTTCGTGGTAATTTTTTTTTGTCTTGCTGAAAATTGCTCTTCCTGTTGGGATATTCAGCCTCTACAGAAACCACAAGTGGAGCTGGCTAAGGCTTATTCCCAGTCCCTTACTGCTCAGTTTCCACCTCCCTGAAGCGCTGTGGCACTTGTGGTGCTGGGTCTCCCTGTTCAGGCCCTTCCCACAGTAGGTTCTGTTTATAGGGCCTCCTTGTGATGAGCCCGTGCTGGGAGCCAGCTGGCCAGGACAACAGATCACTCTTCCAGTCATAGTAGGGATGCCCCAGGATTGTCTGTACCTAACGAGGAAAGAGCAACCAGATACGTGCAAGCTTGCTTTAGGAGTCAGATGTCACTCTAACATGATCTTAAATATTAAGAGACCTGTTCTTCCCGTTTGCTTCTACTTCAAACCCCACTAATCTTTGATGTAGGTTATACTTTCACGTTTAAAGGGTGTTTGAACATCATCATTCCTTTCTCCCCTTTCCTTTCTTGTAGAGATATATTAGGCATGCCACAGTGTAGTGTCTACGCCTTGGCCTTTCCAATCATGAGCCTACAAGGGAAAGTAATTAGAAGTAATATTTTCAGTACCCTTTAGTAAAATAAAGATATTTGTGTTCTAGTTTGTATTATGAATATCAGAGTGCAAATAGGTGTCTAATTCAAAGTGAATATTTGACACCTAGACAGTTTTATTATTTTTATCATCATTAAAATTTTGATATAGTTACTTCAAACATTTTGTAAAACTAAAAGCAACATGTTCCACTTTTCTTTCTTTCTTTCTTTCTTTCTTTCTTTCTTTCTTTCTTTCTTTCTTTCTTTCTTTCTTTCTTTCTTTCTTTCTTTCTTTTTTCCTTCCTTCCTTCCTTCCTTCCTTCCTTCCTTCCTTCCTTCCTTCCTTCTTTCTTTCTTTCTTTCTTTCTTTCTTTCTTTCTTTCTTTCTTTCTTTCTTTCTTTCTTTCTTTCTTTCTTTGTATAAAAAAAATACCATTGGGTACCTTAACATGCATAGCATTTGATTTTTTAAGTTGATTTGAAAACATGTTTTTCTTCTAATATTTCATTGTTTTCTTAAAGGGCTTCTTGCAAGTTCACAGACTCTGAGTTGAAATGAGTTTGTACAATCTGATACAATAACAGTTAATTTGGTCATTACAAGAATTACTTTCTTGATGTTGCCATAACTAACTTACATGGTTTTAACTACATGAAAGGCCCTTAGAAAAGGATGTGGTATCTCAAGGCAAAATAAAGTGATATGTTCTAAATGTGATTTTTAAAAATGTGATGTGATAATTTCTTAAAGACAAAGGATCATGGTTTTGTACCTTGATTGTCTTTGATTAAAATATTAGTTTTTAAATTTCATATGCCAAACGACATGGGAAATTATGAAAATTCATTTTCTCCATGTCTTCCTACTAGAAAACACAGCCTTCAGACTGACATATTTTGTGGGTTTTTTCTCACCCATTTCCCATGAAGATATGCTTGTATGCATGAATGTTGAATTTCATTATGTTTTATCGCTTGACAATATAAATAAGCTATTAATACACAGAGCATTGTAGACTTTCTCTGCCATATTACATGACAGAACACCATTACTCATTCTTTACCATCTTCATTTAGAAATGTAATAAGTTAATATTGAGCATATTTTCTCCTTGCCATCTGATCAAAAAATTACCTCTACATTTACATGATGTTAATGGAAATTTGTAGCTAGAGTCTCATTGTAAACCACAATTACTTTGCTGAAAAGAATAGTAATGACAGAATTGGGTTGCTATCCATTTTCTCAAATTTGCAATCAGAAGCTTTCATATAATGATGTTACTTAGCCTGAAAATTTTTTTGCACTGTAGCAACATCTCACCATCAAAAAGGAAACAAAAAGACTATCATCTGTCTATCTATCTATCTATCTACCTACCTACCTACCTATCTTTCTTACCATATGTCAGAGTTTTTGTTCCATGGATACAAGGCAGATTAGAAATGATAAATTAAAATAGGGGAATGGCACAGCTATAGACACATATATAATAATTAAGTCTCCTGACATTGCATGGTGATTTGCCATTGACAAAATGACCATGGACAGTCACCTTGTAGCAAGAAAATAAGCAGAAAATGTGTGTATAGATGAATAAAACACCTGATGGGGGCAGCACAGAAAATTCTTATTTTTTGTAGATTGATAAGCTTAGCTCATTATTTTAAGAGAAAACCTAAATTATTGTCATTCAGCAAATATCAGCATGGCCACCTGTGGTGGAGGGAGGGTCATAAGAATGCAGAAGCCTCGGAAATCAGAGCCTAGGGCAGGTTAAAGCCCCTGGGACTTCAGTCACAGCCACTACCGGTTGTCAGGCCCCACTGTGGGTCCATTCAATGACATGAGTAAGAGAATAGGAACTATTGTGATTTGTTCTGAGAACGTCCATTTCAGATGGTTAAAATCTGTTAAAGTTTGGTGTTTTACATCTGAAAAATGCCTCTTCTTTCTAAAGGATATAGAGAGCTAAATTATAACATCATAGTTATATTCAGAAAATAGCACTTAAATACATGATGGACACAAATTGTGCAGGGTAAATAAAATGGGCACTACTGGGACATGCTGCTATCTCTAATTTAAAACGGAGCAACTCTCTCCTCTTTCCAAGGCCCCCCCGCCCCCTTTCTGCCAGTACAAGACTGGCTATAAGCACAGCAAGACAGTGGTGCTGTTGCTTTATGGAAGAAGGGCAAGAAAGTCTTATCCCGAAACCTCCCCAGTGCTAAGGCTTAATACTCTGCCATTACTAACTGTAAAACAAATCATCCTGGTTAACTTGTGAGTCTTTGGGCCCCTTTATGTCAAATGCAAGCATCCCTGGGAGATGACAACAGTACAGCTTTCTCTCCCTAAAATGAGCATCAATCAGAAAGCTTTTGTCTGGATTGGGCACAATGGTGGGCAAGAAATGAAGCTCATGAAATGGACATTAAAAGAAATGGACTGCTTGTTCTGTGTTTTTACTTCTGGCCAAACATGTGCCATAGTTCTAATGAAAGGCTTTTTGTGAAACATATTTCCTTAGTTTTAAAATGTCTCACGTTCCCTACATAAATTGGCCTTGTCAGCAACAGGCTCACTAATAATACATTCTGGTGCCAACATTGCCTCAACCAGCACTAAGAATAGCAAACCAGTCTCGTTGTCGGCCTCTTTCCCTTCTGTTTCTTCTCAACGAAGCTTTGTTCATTCCTAACCCTGAGAGAGGCTGACTGCTCCCTGGGACATTTGGTGATGATGCTCATTCTACTAATGTCAAAAGACCTACAGTCTTCCTATTCCTCCCTTAATTAAAGCTATATTGACTTAATCTGCTTATTCTATAGCAAAGACGAGCAAGTGGGGAGGTAGGGATATCATACTATTCACTGGGGGGGGGGGCGGGAATCCCTCTGGTTTGCTTAAGACTTTCATAAATTTTTATGAATACAAATTGCAAAAACATTTAAATATTTCTGGGTGAATTTCATCTTGCCCCAAGCTTTGGTGATTTCTGTGGCTTATATGCTCCAGTTGAACAGTGGTTGTCTTAGCCATCACCACCATTACACTTTGTTGATGAGCTAAAGTTAGAAACAGCTGCATGATACCACAGTGAAGCTGCCATGGCTCTCAATTCCTTTAAAAATATGATCCCAGGTTTCGTGGGGATTAGATGGGAAGTTAAGTTTTCATATGGAAAGGTGCAGGTAAGAAAAGTATGCATGACTAGATTTCTTTTCGCTGAGAGGTGATACATGCATGTTGCCTCCCACTTGTATCTGCAGCCGTCCTGAATCCCAGCTGGGAAAGGCACAGGATTTAAGATGGATTTCCAGTGGGACCCAAAGAGAAAAGTGCCAGCAGCTTTGTCAGAGGAGCTCATGTGTCATAGAGAAGCTGATCTCATGTCACACACCCACAGTGCCATGAACATTCTTTGGCCTGTAGGTCATTTTCCGTGGAAGTGCTTACATTCTGAAACCCATGGAAGTGAAGTTGCACTCATTGGTTATCAGTCTTCAATTTAGTCATCCAGAACAGACTTAAAATTTCATGGCTTAGAATTAAAGGGTTAGGATTAAGCCTTTCTCCATTCATCACATACTTTCAAATAGATGTTGATCTTTCCCATCTAAACAGCAGATGTAACCCAATGATGACAAGGCCCCTCCCCTCTTCCTTTTCCTGGACTGAAGTTCATAGCATAGGCTAGGACAAAAGTAGGTTTATTTATTTCATATGGAAATAAAATAATTTGATAAGTAATAACACAAGGATAAACTGTTTTCATGTACTCACAACTGTATTTTCCCCCCACACTGTATATGTCATGTCCTAGTAAGGGAAAAAATAAGAATAACATAATTTATTTTTAATGGACTATATTAGAAATAGAAAATGTTATTTTAACCTTATTTTTAAATTTAATTTTATTAAAAACAAAAAAATTATTTTAATTGTGATAAAAAATAAACATAAACTTTACTATAAACCATATTAAGGATAGATCAGTTATATAAGTATATTCATGTTTTTGTACAACCACCTCCAGAGCTTTTCATCATCTTAACAGGACACTCTGTATTCATTAAACTCCAACTCCCCATTAAGACCATGTTTCCTTAAAGATACAAGTGTTTCTGGTTTCTTTGAATGTGGTAGTTATTATACCAATAGTTGCTGGTTTTTACTTTACAGAAAAAAAGTTCCTTTCAAAGTTTTATGTGAATAATTCAGGATAAAGTCTCCTTATGTCTCAGCCCCATAAAATTAATCTCATATGTCTTTTCTTTCTAAAATTAAACATTCATTTTAAAACATCAAATGGCAAATAATTTAAATATTAATTGGTTATTTAATAAATATACTGAGTATGATCTTTTAAATGTTTTCCTGAGTTCTAATAGAGAAAACATTGAAGCTATAGTTCTTTCTGCTCCTTTAGAATATTACTGATTTATATGTTTAAATGTGCTTGGTTTAATTTGTAGTTTAAAACTAATGTACAGTACTTTAATTTACCATATTAAAAAAAAAACAACGCTGAATAAATAGAGGTATGTCAGATGAAAAACTTGCATCAGTATAATTTCCATGTATTATATAACAGTAAGACTAATTATAAATTAAACTCTAAAAATACTGAAATAATTTCATAATTACTTATATTTTGGGGATATGTTGTAATTCACATTATATATTCACTTAGCAGACATGTTTTCTATTTAAAATCACTGAAAACATTTTAAAGATTATAAATATTTTGAAGTGTTTAGATATTTTCATCAATATTACTGTTCTCATTTTAAGGAAATCACTTCTTTCTTTTTATTGACCTGCAGCTCAGAGAGTCATTCAAGGATATAAAAAAGAAATTTAACAATTTGAAGTTCAATTACACTAAGAAAAATGAAAAAGCTAAGAATCTGAAGGCTCTGAAATATCAAATTCAACAGGTTGATATGTATGCTGAGAAAATACAGGTAATGAAAAAAAAGTGTGTGTGTGTGTGTGTGTTTGTGTTTGCATGCACTACTACAGTTATTGCAAAATCATTTTGCATTTCAATTCTAGATGCCTAATCCTTGGGCTATTTTTTTTTTTTTTACAGCATTGGGACTGAAAAGGTAGTTATCCATTTTTATAACAATTTAAGTTTTTTATGTAAAATATATAATAAATTGATTTATCTTTGAAAGCAGCTCCAGAATGGTTTCTACCAAACCTACCTAGCCTCTCTGCTTCCATTCTTACCCCCAACAGACACAAACATACACACTCACACATATGCACACACACACACATATGCATACATGCATCTACCTTTTGCACATCCTCTTTTCCCCCCTCACACCTGCTTGTGGAAGGACCTTTTTACACCTACCTTGATTATCACATCTACAGACTAGATTATTTGAATGCCTTTCCCAAGAGACAGTGAACTTACTGAAGACAATAAAATATCTGATTTTATGATTATTATCTTATTTTTAATTATAGTAGTATTCTCAAAATCTGGAATAGACCCTGGCCTGTAGTTAATTTTCTATATGTTTGCTGAATGCTGAATCAATATACTATCTAGAAGAAAGTCCATTCATCCAAAATTCATTTTAATAATTATAATTTTAATATATTATAATGGAGGAAGCTTCAAATAGTTTTCCCAAGTGTTTCTCCAATATTTAATCACTAGCTAGCCTCTTAAATAAAAATTGAATTTTATTTTAAAGATTTTATATATTGGCACAGGTTTTGAAAAAGAAAATGGAAAAAGTTGAGAACAAGACTTCTGAATCTTTCTTAAATTACCCAAATAGTAAAGTTACAGTTCTTTTGGAAGCCATGAAGGATTTGAAAAAACATGTGGATGAGTTTGATAAAGTTGTAACAGATTACAAGAAGAATTTGGACCTGACCGAGCACCTCCACGAGATGATAGAAGAGGTACCTGCTTACTGTTGTGGTGTCCATGCTGTAATGCTGACCTATGAAATCACTCTGATACTTTGTAACAATGCTGTACTAGCTATTCTTGTCATTAAGCCCATGCATCATTCTCCTTCCCATGCTTATTTGTTTAGGACAATTTCTTAGAGTAGAATTGATGAACCAAATGGGGTAAATGTTACAATATTTTGAGTGTATTGTCCAATTGCCCTTAGAAAGACTTGACTAACTTTCTCTTGCTAGCAACATATGAGAGTTTCTCATTTCTCTATAACCTTGTCAACTGAAGATGTTTAACAATCATGAAATTATGTTCACTGCTGGATATCTGTTTAAAACACCCAAAATGACTTATTTACTTCACAGAATATGAAAGTTTTTTTTAGAAAGAAAGGGTGATACTTTTTTTCAGGTATAAAAATTATTATTAGTGTTATTTTTGTTTTGTCAAAAGGTTAAAATGGAAGAGTATATGTAAAATATATAAAATTTGACAAGTTAAAATTATTTTCACACACATATTTAAATATATTTTTATTGATTTCAGAGAGGAAGGGAGAGGGACAGAAAGATAGAAACATCATTGATGAGAATCATTGATGGGCTGCCTCCTGCATGCCTTCTCCTGGGGATGAAGCACACAACCAGACATGTGCCCTGACTGGGAATCCAACCATGATCTCCTGGTTCATAGGTCAGTGCTCCAACACTGAGCCACACCAATGGGGCTACACACTTACATTGAAGAAACCCTGTACTCAAAGTTCTTGAGTGTTTTTGTAGCCTGTTATTATGAAATTAAAATAAAACAACAAACACCTCTATTTACCACTGATGCAGTAGAGTTTTTAGATTTAACACCATATTAAGAAGGATCCAGATAACCACTCTTCTATAACTCATAGGTTTTCTGCAGCTCTGTGGCACTGATTCAAAACTGGCTCATAACGAAGTCATGTGTTTCTATTTCCCACTCAGTGCAAGAGCTTGTGGCTTTGGTCAGACATATTCCTTCCATCAGGGTTATTTTTAGTGAAGAAACTCAGTTCTCCAGTGTGCTTTGAACATATGATTGTCTTCTATTACAAAATAGTTCAAATGCTATTCCTTAGATGATATTTCTTTAATCCATAGACTATATCTAATTCTTAAGAGAGAAGTCATTTGAGTGGTAATCAGGCAATACTTTATCCGTTTATTGTTAATGGTTTCAATAAATTAGGCTGGATTTTGTGTTTGGGTTTTTAAATTTCCTTTTAGGTTATGTTTGGATATTTTAGTGCCATACACTTTTTATATCACCTGTTCTTGCAAATATGCAACATTCCTCTTAAGAATTATGCTTCAGACAAATTTAAGAAGGCAAGAAAATCAAATGAATTTTCATACTTTTTCTTATCTGACTCTAATACCCAAGTACAAAGTATATGATCATGTTTTTTATATTTTTTATTAAAACTTAGAGATTCAAACTAATGTGAACATAAAGTCTGAGGAAATTTAAATTTGATACTTCAGTGACCAAAGCGAAGAACATTAGAATGATGGTGTCTTGTTAATCTATGCTTTGTTCTATTTTAATTTAGTGTCATTTTTGGTGTGAGGATGCAAGTGCCACAGTTGTAAGAGTTGGAAAATATTCCATGGAATGCCAGACCAGAGAGGCTGTGGAAATCCTCCACCAGCAGTTCAATAAGTTTATCACACCTTCAGTGCCTCAGCAAGAAGAAAGGATCCAGGAGATCAGTGACCTCGCTCAGCGATTATATGGTGAGCTCTCTCTCTCCTTTTTAGGATTTCAAAGGTGTTTTAATCATTCCATAAAGCTTTCCCCCCTAATATAGGAAAGAGAAAACTTATTTGAGGCCATGACCAGCTAAAGGCATAAGTGTGAATAGACATTTTTCTAATGTATTTCATGTGGTTTTACATGAAATATTTTTTATCTTTATTGTTGAAAGTATTACAGATGTCTCTTCCCCAGTGAGTCCTTCTAGCCTGCATCCTCCCCCAGCCCCAGGCCTTTCACCACACTATTGTCTGTGTCCATGGGTTGTGCATAATGCATACCAGTTCTTTGGTAATTGGTGAGATCTCTTTTAAAACATGCCATCATTTCCCATGAAACAAACCTATGCTGAACCTAATCTAGCAGAAAGCAGAGGGTCACAAGTCCTCATGGTCCTCTCTACACCAACCTATTTAGGGAAAAGCCTCAAGATAAGAGCTCACAACCTATAAAAGTAAATGCTGGGGAATAGACATTGAAACTTCTGTCTGCAGATGAAGCTTGTAGATTTTTATTTTATTTTTTGAAAATATATTTTACTGATTTTTTTACAGAGAGGAAGGGAGAGAGACAGAGAGCTAGAAATGTCGATGAGAGAGAAACATCGACCAGCTGCCTCTTGCACACCCCCTACCAGGAATGTGCCCGCAACCAATGTACATGCCCCTGATCGGAATCGAACCTGGGACCTTTCAGTCCGTAGACCGACGCTCTACCACTAAGCCAAACCGATTTCGGCAAAGCTTGTAGATTTTTAACTACCTTATGTAAACCTCCTTCTCTGTCCTCCTCTCTCCCCCATTCTTGTTGCCCATCTCCAGGTAATAAAACTAGGACAATACTCAGTTTTTATAGATTCCCCCCCCCAAAAAAATTCTAATTTTCACTAGTGTGATTCCTTGAAAAACATGCAAATTTCCCATGGTACTTTAAGTAAGTATCAAGCTAAGACTAAAGTCTATAGCCTTCTCATTTCTATGACAGTTATGGTTTGTGGACATAAGAAAGATGGAAATGTTTCTCTTGCCCTCCTCTCACTCGTGGAGTAAATGGGAAAACTAAAATTATCATCACATGGGTTCTTCTTTCCTCTTCTCCATGGAGAAGGTAAGGTGTTAGCTCTGCTGTCTGAGAAGTCCTAGCTAAAGGAGGCTCCCATTTAAGATGCCCCATAGGTAATTACAGTCCTTGAGAGCGGTGAGGCATGTTTCATCAATTCCCAGATGTTATTAACTGAGACCAAGACTTACTCCCAGTGACCAGGCAAATTCATCCTCAAAAGAAGATATCAACAGGTGGTATAAAATGCTTCATTTGAATGCCCACAGCTGCTGCCAGATTGGGATTTTCTCTTATTACATGAAGCACACTGTCCATGGATTGACCTAAAAATTTGTAGAACAATAAATACTGCAATAACATATTGAATTGTTAATGATTTTCCAAAGGAAAAGAGTAGAAACATCAAAATAATAAAATACAGATTGAAAAATTAATGAAAACCAATATGATGTCACATTCTTACTGTTGTTATTCTATGAGTTGCACCAAAAATTTTGGAGGCACTCTGTCCTCATAGCATTGTATATGTTTTCTTCTAGTATTATTATATTTCTTACACTGTAGCATAATTGCCCTTTTATTTGTCCTTTCTACTGACCATAAGCTCATTGAGGGCATGGGAAGTATATTTTATCCCTATATTTCAGTGCCTATTCAATTTTAGGACACACTAAGTACTCATAAAGACCCACCCCTCCCAGCATGCATGATTCTATATCTCGCTTTGTTTTATATTCCTGACCCTTATTGCCAACTGTCTTTTATGTAGTTATTTATCTGTTTTGTGCCTTTCCTTAACCAGAATATAAACTCCACAAGAGAAGGGATTTTGCCTGTTAGTTCACTGCTTCATGGTACATACTAAGTGCTTAATAAATACTTGATGAATAAAAAAATCATTGAAAAAACAGCAATAGTCTTTTCCTGTTAAATATGGAAGCTATGCATTTTTAAAAATTTGCATCAAGTAAGATACTTTAGGAATATTAAATCATCTACTCTTGCAGGTCACCCAAACATTACTGAACGCAGAACTTTTTAAAAATATATTTTATTGATTTCAGAGAAGAAAGGAGAGGGGGAGAGGAATAGAAACATCAATGATGAGAATCATCAACTGGTTGCCTCCTACACACCCCCCAAAGGGAATTGAGCCCGCAACTCAGGCATGTACCCTTGGCCGGAATCAAACCTGGGACCCTTCAGTCCATAGGCCAACACTCTATCCATTGAGCCAAACCAGCCAGGGCTGAACCCAGAATTTTAATGCAAGTAAATGTATCACAAAGATTGTACTAGGAGCTCTAACCAATATAAAGACAAATAAAATCTAGTTCCTTCATTCAAGAATCCATGGTCTAGACTAGGGGTGTCGAACTCAATCAGAGAAGGGGCCAAAATCTAAAATCCAGCCTAAATCGCGGGCCGAATGGTTTACTGAACAGTCATAAACTGTCATTGTGATGGAAACGCAGCGGAATGCAGTGATGACAGCGCGGTGCAGGCCACATTGCAAGGCCTGGTGGGACGGATTTGGCCCGCGGGCCTTGTGTTTGACACATGTGGTCTAGACTTAGAAATCATGAAATGGTTAATATAATGAGAAAGGTATAAAGTGTGTGTATGAGTCACCTCAGGCTGCCATAGCAACATGGTATAGGCTGGGTGGCTTAAGCAACAGGAATTTATTTCCTCAGTTCTGGTGGCTGGAAGTGTAAGATCAAGGTACTCACAGGGTTGGTTTCTCCTCAGGCTTCTTTCCTTTGCTTGCAGGTGGCCACCCTTGCTGCCTCTTCTGTGCACACACACACACCCCTGCTGTCTCTCCCTGTTCTTATAAGGACACTAGTCATATTGGTTTAGGGCTTTACCTTAATGGCCTTTTTTAAACTTAATAACCACTTTGAAAACCTTATCTTCAAATAGGGTTACATTTGGAGATACTAGGGATTGGAACTACAGCATATGAATTTGAGGATGAACACAATTTAGCCCATAGTGATGTGCAGTAGAATTTAGCCTAAACTTTGGATTCCAGTAGATCAGGTTTGAATCCCTGGTCCTCCAGTTATTGTCGGGGTTACTTGAAGAGGCTCTTTTGAGCTTCAGATTCTTCATTTGTAAAATACAAGAGAATCTACTTGAGGGGGATTACATTAGACAATGCATATGAAGTGCCTATGCACTCACTACTTGGTAGACATGTTCATTATTATTCCAATTGGGAGAGATTAAATACATTTGGGAAAGATTAAAAACATTTTCACAAAGATGTTAGCACTTAGGGTAGAGTTTGAAAAGTAGGTAGGGGTTTGATAGCAGAAATGGAAGGGGGGAAGGGCATTCGTAGTACAGAAGAAAATGCCCAGTGGCTGTGAGGATTTTGAAGGAAGAATCAGGAATATATGTTCAGTTTTGCTAGAGATGAAATATGTGAGAGAACTAGGGTGATAAACATTGGGGAGGGGCAAGTTAAACCTATATTATTGAGGGCCTTGAATGCATACTCCCTAGGTACTAAAGAACCACTGAACCTTCTGAATTGGGTAAAACTGATTGGAATTCAGCTTTAAGAATATTAATATAGCAACATTATTTAGGTTACATAAAAGAGACATGATACAGTAAATGTAAGCATTTTTCTAGAATACCTAGTTCTCAAAAATGCTCTTATTTATTTACTTGTCTAGCACATATTTTATTAAGCATTTACTATCTACCAGACACTGGGGAGATGAATTAAAATCTGTTTTGTTTGTTTTTTCCTGCCAAGAATTTGACTTTTAAAGATAATTTTATTCCTTCTCCTCTCCAGGTTTTGAAGAAGGGCAGAAATATACTGAAAAAATTGTGGCAAAACACAAAGAGGTTCTTGAATCTATTACTGAATTATGTGGCTCTCTCACTGAGCTTGAAGAAAAGCTGAAGGTAATGTCTTCTCAGAATATGTACGTTCGAGTGGTATAAATAAAAATGCATTCATCAGGGGTCTTCTGGTGCAAAAATGTTCAAAGGGAAATTCTCAAGGGATATAATGTGCACATTTGTTTCACAGTTTTCTAACATAATTATTTGGGTGTTTCTTATCATTAATTCTGTTTCTTTTTCATCACTGCAGAGAAAACTTTCTTTTTCATCATTGCTGAGAATGAGGGCTAAATACAATTAAGGTGTCTCGTTTACATTTTCATGGATCATATCCTAAAGAATAAATGTGTACCATTAAAATAAAACTAAAGTCTGAATTAAGTAACCTTACGTTTTTATTCATAAATAAATTTTTATTTTCTCTACGGATTGTGGCCCAAGAGAAAATAAAACTATGTTTCAGGAGTTATGTTCATTGAACAATTAACTTCACCGAAATATTGAACTAATCATTAACATTATTCATGGACTAGAAAATTGATGCTATTTTGATTACTATGGCCTTGTAGTATAGTTTGGTATCAAGTAGCGTAATCCCATAATACCTTCAACTATGTTCTTTTTTCTCAAGATTGCTGTGGCTATTCAGGGTCTTTTGTGGTTCCATATAAATTTTTGGAATATTTGTTCTAGTTCTGGGAAATGTGCCATTGGTGTCTTAATAGGCATTGCATTGAATCTATAGATTGTTTTGGGTAGTATGGACTTTTTAATGTTAATTCTTCCTATCCATAAACACTGTATATGCTTCCAGTTATTTGTATCTTCTTCAATTTCTTTCTTTGGTGTTTTATAATTTTTCTGAGTACGGTCTTTTACATCCTTGGTTAAATCTATTCCTAGATATTTTATTTTATTTTTTTGAATAGTAAATGGGATTGTTTTCTTCATTTCACTTTCTGATAGTTCTTTATTGGTGTATAAAAATGCAGCTGATAATGCAGATTGGTGCAGCCATTGTAGAAAGCAGTATAGAATTACCTTAAAAAATTGAAAATGGAACTGCTCTATGACCCAGTGATTTTGCTCATATATACAGTGATATATGATCTGGGAATATATCTGAAGAAACTGGGAACATAATTCAAAGGAATATATGCTCCCTGTATTTATTGCAGTGTTATTTGCAGTAGTCAATATTTGGAAGCAACCTAAGTGCCCATCAGAAGATGAGTGGATATAAAAGCAGTAATTCATTTACACTATGGAAGACACCCATGATTATTGTTGTGATCATTGTTCTTACTGAGACATAATGGTGCTCTTACAGTTCAGAGCAGAAGTATAATTATTTCTAGCAAACATATCTTTTTGTTTGAATCTCCATTTCATAAATTTGAATACTAATTCCATTCAATATAGGTTGCAACCTTTTAACTCATCCATTTTACCTTTGATTAAGAATCTAGATTTTTTTTAAACTTCTTTATCATTTTAAATAACACTATAACAAACATTTTCATGCATATAGACCTTTTTTTTCTTTTGTATTATTACCTATGCATACATTCTCCAGGTTTGGGTAAGTGTGTATGAAATTATTAATGCTTCACATATGTGTATATGAAATAATATTAATTGTTAATGTCTCAAATATGTATATTTATATTGAATTCCATAAATGTTTTATACTTATAATGCCAACAGTAATGTATGAATGTGCCACATATCACATAATATTTTTTGCAACAGTTATCATTTCCTCCCTACCTCGACCCCACCCCTTGAGGATCTGTCTCTTCTCCTAACTTCTGATACACAGCCTGAAAATCGCTGCTTCTCTGGAGCTTTGCTCCCTATTGTCTACAGTGTCCCTCCCAATTATGTTGTGCACCTTCTAGTGGGATCCACTTAATAAAATCCATCCTCTTAAAGTTATAGCCTTTTCCAGATTTTCACCTTCATGGATATTCCTCCTGAAAGCTGTTTCTATTCCCTCTCTACACTTCCTCATTCCCTAATCCTTCTTATACCATCTGTAGTAAGGATTAGACCCTCTCTTTCTCATTTCCTATGCATCACTTAGATTCTTTTTTGTACTAGTCAGGAGCCTCTTAATTATACACTCCAGCTGGATTGTCCTTCCTAAATACCGTATTTTTCGGACCATAAGACGCACTTCCCCCCCCCCCCAGAAGTGGGGGGGGAAAGTCCCTGAGTCTTATGGTCCAAATATAGCCTACACATATACTTTAAAAAAAAAGTTTTTTTACTTGCCCGGCTCTGTGTGGTCTCTGTGTGCTTGCCCGGCTCTAAAATGGTTCTAAATGTTGCTGTTTACTTTACAGGGTTGATTACATGTGTCTATGACTGTGATGTTGGGTTTTAATGCACATAAAATATTTTAGGACACTATTTGTTTCAGAATCTTTTTTTCTTCATTTCCCTTCTCTAAAAACTGGTGCGTCTTATGGTCCGGTGCATCTTATGGTCCGAAAAATACGGTACATTTCTTCTTGTGTCATTTTTACTTATTTATTTTAATTAATTTTTAATTTTCGTTTTTCCATCACCATTTATCCCCTCTATGCCCTCTTCCACTTCCACCACTCCTCAATCCCCCTCACTCTGCCATTACCATACTGTTGTCCATGTCTATGAATTCTCTCTCTTTCCAGTATTCTGAGGCTGATATTCTTTCCAAACCACTGTACTTCTACAGCCATTGTAAGTGCCTGTCTCACTGGTCTGCTACCCCCACATCCCCAGGTTCCCTGCTTCCAAACCTTTACTTCAAACACATGACCTTCTACCTCCGTCTCTCCGAATCTTACCATCTCTCATGGGCAAAACCAAACACTGCCTCCTCTGCATCACCTTCCTCAGGTGTCACTTCCTCTCTGGTCTCTCCTAGCTCTGTGCTATTTCCTCGCACAATCATCAATATAACTGCCATTACCATCCCAAAGTCACCTGCCTGAGGAAACGATGGCTCTCTCCAATGTAGCACCCACACATTTGTACCATGTTTCACCTAAAGCAGCTTCTCCAGAAAGGGTTTTGATATTTATAGCACAAATTTGAAGGATTAGTACAGAGAAGAAGCATTCCATAGCTCAGAAAGGTAGGATCGGGTGCTAAAAATGAGGAGGGGCCTTTCTGGCAGCAGAAACTGGCATCAGTATTGCCTTTAGGAGTTGAGCCTGAACAGAAGTTTATCAGAGAATGCTTTCTAGCACTTACAGAAGTTTGCAGAAGAAGCCTAAGTGACTAGTTTTTATGCTTGATACTTTGGCTCATTTTAGGAGCTATTTAAAAAGTAGGCCCAGACATCCCTGTTGAGGCTGAAATAGTGATAATAATCCTTTCTATTTGTATAGCAATTTGAGATTTACAAAGGGTTCTCATACATAATTACATCAGTGATTTCCAAATAACCTTGCCATGGAGATAGGGCAAATGTGTTTTCTTTGTTTCAGAGGGAAGCTCAGAGAGGGTGAAAATACTTTCACTTCCAGTCAGTAGTGTGGACCTGGAATTTGAACTTGGATATGATTTAAGATCTAACATTCTTTCTATAACAGCTGCCATTTGGAATTAGGTATCAAGTGTACTAATGCAGAGTGACCAGTAATATAAACTAGTTTAGGTTTTAGAATTGAGGTTAAAGCCCTGACTTGGTTTGGCTCAGTGGATAGAGCATTGGCCTGCGGACTCAACGGTCCCAGGTTCAATTCCGCTCAAGGACATGTACCTTGTTTGCGGGCACATCCCCAGTAGGGGTGTGCAGGAGGCAGCTGCTTGATGTTTCTTTCTCATCAATGTTTCTAACTCTCTCTCCCTCTCTCTTCCTCTCTGTAAAAAATATAATATATATATATATATATATTTTTTTTTTAAATAATTGAGGCTAAAGCTGAATACTCCCCATAATGTGTCCCCCTAATCCTCTGAGTCAGTGTAGAATGTGTACTTTGAAGGGCATGCCTGTTTCTTGAAGGCTCATGCAAGGACCATGTTCCAGGTGGAATAGAGACCCTTCTGTTGCAGTAGAATCATCATTCTAAACTGGTGTTGTCGCTTGTGTAACTATATCTTTTTTTACCTTCACCAAGTCCTCTCAGCCCTCACACTGGCTCCACAGCAGTTTGCGACCCCCTCTACCTCCATGACTAAGACAAAACCCCATTAAATGCAGGAGCAAGATATTGTCCTTTGTTCTCAATTGTGTGTGTTGTTTTTAGCATTCAGCGATATTTTTCTCCCTCTTTTTATGAGTCTCACAAGCATTTTGCATGTTTAAGTTCTCTGGATTTCCTATTTTTTGCTACACCAGAAACCCTTAGTCATTTCTGTCTCATTGCTGCTCCCCCAAACTCTCCTAATGGTTTAAATTGCAGGGTACAATCCTGCATGTGCATTCTATTGTAACAATGACTCCCCCCCCCCCACTTTCTATGCCTTTAAACGACCAAATTTTATTGACAATGAATTTTATCAAAGGAATGAGATAGGAGGGGACCTGTGAACTTGGAGGGGTAATTTCATAAATCTTATGAGAGGACATAAGTCTTGTGTGGAATATATTCAACTAAAAGGTTAAAGTGGCCTTTTTTCTTCCAAGTGATTATTATATGGCACTGTCCCTTCAACTTTTCTGCCCAGGCACTCACTGACTATCACTTTATACAGCAGGGAGGTGCTGTAAAGATGAATCTGAATTCGGAAGACTTCCACGATGATTGCATTGACCTCTTGAAAGAACCAGTGAGAAATAAGCAGACAATTTTCAAAGAAGAAATGAATAAGGTAAAGAAAACTACCTTGGCTACTCATTACTTCTGTTTTGATGTTCATTTGATTGTGCATTGCAAAAAAAAAAAAAAGTATATCAAAGCCTTCTTATCTATATGGATCAAGTCTCATGATATAAATGCAATGCAAGTGACCTCATCCCTTACCGCCTTTCTACGCCCTACTTAGCTGCCTTTCCCATTGTCCTTTCTCATCAATCCCAATGTCAGATTTTATTTCTCCCTCTTTATGATACCACCAAGCTATGATTTTATTGTTTACAGTATCATTAGAGAACTTTAATATATGAAATCAGACAGTATCTTGTTCGCAGAGAATCTGCCTTTAAGATATTTTCAGGCACTAAAATATAGGACCCAACTGAAACATGAATACTAAACCATTTAGAGAAATGTTTAGATTACTTTAAGTCCTATGCATTACAAATAAATTAAGCCTGTAGCAAAAACTGCAAATACCCACAGAATGCAAATGTATCTTGATATCAAATATATTATTTAAATCACATCATTATGGGTTTCAGCTTAAGTTACTCACTCTCTATTCATAGCTGCTGGACTATAATTACCTCAGGACTCTTAGCTTTGCCAAGTTGCCTGGTCCCTCTATTCTCCCTCTCCCAAGAAACTCAAGTAACAAGTAGAATCAACACTATTCTCACCTACCCCAAATTAATAAAATATATTTCTTGTGACCTGAGACTTAAAAAAAAAAAATCTTCCCAATTGTTATGCACATTTCATGAAAAAAAAAAAACCAGTTATGTTTCTGTGGATTTTATACAGTTCTCAGAGCTTGTTTATATGTTCTTTTCCATGGGTTAAATGTATGTGAAGATCTAGTTTAATTATAAAACCACCAGACTATAAGAACCATTAAGCAAGCTGCCTTTCTTTTGGTGGGGTGACCCTGGTTCTTCTCTGAGGCAAACCTTGGACAACTTGTTGGACCCTAATCTTATATCTTAGTCTTTGGTTACTCTCACTGGTCTAAATCAGGGTTTTTCAACCTCAGTGCTACAGACATTTTGGCCTAAAGCATTCTGCTTTATAGGATGATTGGCAGCATGCCTGGCCTCTATTCTGGATGCCAGTAGTAGTCCCTCCCACCCCACCAGTTGTGACAACCAACAATTTCTATAGAAATTGCCAAACATCTTCTGGGGAGCAAATTCACTCTTGATTGAAATCTATTAGTTAAAATAATAAAAAATAACATTAAATGTACCACATTTTCTTCATTGACTTTCTAAAACATGCTAAATTCAACACCATATTATTTTTTGTAATTCTGCACATTTTTCTACATTGTCTACCACACACATTTACTAAGATTAGAAATGGAAGTTATTGCTATGAAATCAAAAACATAGTAAAAAAATGGGTTTTATTGCTATTATTTTGCTTGGAAGAAGAGTTAAATGAGCAAATTTCTTTCAGTAGAAAGAAAGAGATTTACCTTCATTCAAAAGTCATTTTTATTTTCATATAAAGTAAAAGATACTATAAGTCATCAGTTATTTAGGATAAAAGTGAAGGTCCATGCCATAACCGTTTTGGCTCACTGGATAGAGGGTCAGCCTGCAGACTGAAAGGTCCCAGGTTCGATTCCTGTCAAAGGCATGTACCTTGGTTGCGGGCACATCCCCAGTGGGGGACGTGCAAGAGGCAGCTGATCGATGATTCTCTCTCATCGATGTTTCTAACTCTCTATCCCTCTTCCTTCCTCTCTGTAAAAAATCAATAAAATATATTTTTTTAAAAAGTGAAGGTCCACAATTATTACTGTCAAGAACCCTAATTGGCATGATTTTGTGTATACATTCAGTACAATTGGTACAGAAAGCAAACTTAAAGAAAGTAGTAATCTTCACTTTTAAATATCACAATCACATTTACCCTCTGACTGTATCACTTATATGTAATGATGTAATGACTCCCCAAAGCACAATGTGGACAGATAATAAGAAGCGACACATAAAAAGGTTGTGGGGGGTATCACTAAGTTCAATTCTAATACTCTTAAATGGTGTTGATCTTCCTTGGGAAAAGATATAAGTGAGAAACAACAATTCCACCAACATATTACAAGAATGTATTAGTCCCAAGATTTTCTCCTGGAGATAGTAAAGTACTTTTCATTTTTCTGACCCAAAAATGCAGCAGGTGGAATTGGGCAATTCAGTCAATGTAATGCTCATTGCACTGCTAACAGATTAGTGATGGTATTTTAACCCCAACGTGAAGACCGGAGCTAAACCTACAATAATATGTGAAAACTCCTAAGGTTAAATGGAGATGCAGAGGATTAAGAGTCTCACCTAAAGTCACAGAACTGTTCAGTAGGCTTGCGATGAAGGCTTGTGATGCCAGCAATTAGAGTTACAGAATTCCAGTGCTAGAAGGAAATTAACAATCATCTGATCAAATCTCACTTTACAGTTGAGGAAACTGAGGCCAAAAGAGATGATATATCTTGCCCTCCAAAAATCACAGCAGAGTCAGCACTGGGCAGGCAGCCCAGTTCTTCTGAACTTCAGCCATGTAACTCTTTCTACAAGACCAGAGGGAGCTCCAAGGAACCGCTGCATATAAATGAGCTGTTTTGTAATGATACTGTAGATTCCTATGCCAGACCTTTCCTCTCTTTGCATTCATCTGTTAAAAAAGCAGTAGCATGGAATCACTTTTATAGCAATCAGTACAGTGGAGTGATCTTATCAGCCTGCCTGAGGCACTCCCTGGCCCTCATCCTCTAATCCTGATCCCTAGGTAGGCAGAGGGAAATAATCTGGAGACATTTTCTTTGGAAATTTTTGGGAAGAAGACAAAGTGTTGTTCATTACCCATGTGTTCCTTATAAAAACATCTGGCCTTGTCTTTTACTTGTTCACTGCAAGTGCCCAAAGGTGCCAACTCAACTTCTTGGCTGCCCAAAGCCTCTTTCAAATTCCCAGAAATGCCTTTCATAGGAAAAGCTCTTTGTTAAATGTCTTTTTTTTTTTTTAAACCATTTCTTACTTAGCTTCATTTGATTGTACATAGCCCAAGATAAGATTGAGATATTTTGGAAATTAAAGTCTTGCGGTGTTTCCTTAAATTTACCACAGAGATGGCTTCCTCCTCTATGTACTTTGAGGATTGGTACTCTACTCTTAGTTTGGTGGATGTAGATTATCATTGTATTCTGTATTCATTTTGTTTGGCAATGATTGGAAATCCAAGTGGTTATGTTCATCAATGGAAATGAAAGTTCAGAAATGCTGACAAAAGATCTGAGGCTATTGATTCAGGGTTATTAAATAAAAGTTAACTGGTCATCAGATATGAAAGTGGGTGAGATCTTTGAGGGGAAAATATAGAGAGAATATTACACAACAGAAAGACAAGATCATTTGTTATTCATATATTTAGAAGTTGGGAAAAGAGAAAGAAATCATCAAAAAAGACAAGGAGCAACCAAGGCTGTAAGAGGAACACATTGAGAATGGGATGTGTTATAGTGAATTAGATCAATTGTCCAGTCCTTTTTGTCAGAATTAACCAGAGTGATGCACATATGTCCTATCTGTGCTGAAAAAGATAGATTAACTACCTTTTTCTAGAAATACACACACATACACACACACTGTTTCTACTGTCAGAAAAACACACACAGTTTCATGGTGGGGAAATAAGAAAAAATAGTTCGTGTACGTGAATAATGGTTCCTGAATGTTGGGGAACCATATCATAAAGGAAAACTAGTAGATCCAGGAATGTATAACTCAGTGAGATTTAGAAGGAATGTTTATAAAATTCCATAATGATTTAAAAACTGAAAGCTTATTTGCATTTGAAATTAAGGCAGAAATGCCAAAAGCCAACATGATTTGCTCAGAAAAACTTGTATTAAACTCATTTTGCTTTCTGAGATGATTATTTACTGGGAAATTCTAAATTAGTGCCATAGGCAAAATTTATTATGGTTTCAGGAAGTCATTTGATAACACTCCTGTTATCTCTCTTAAGTGGGAAAATGTGAGCTGAATGAGAGTTTGGTCTGGTGATAATTGTACCCAAGAGTGTCAAGTAGTTTATCAATGTCACCCTGGAAGACAGCTTTCCTTGCCAGGGGGAGACATCTGGCCTTGTCCTAACCTATGCAGTGTTCAACAAGATTTTAGTGGTTTAAAAACTCGGTATAGACTTGTATGCATGCATATAAGCACAATCAATGGACACAAGACACTGGGATGGGGGGTGGGATGAGGGCATCTGACAGGGGGTAGGAGAGGCTGGGGGAAAAAAGGATATATATATATATATATATATATATATATGAACAACTATATATAATACCTTAAATCATAAAATAAAATTTAAAAAATAAAATAAAAACTAAGTATAAATTCATAGTCCCATGTGTTCCTTATAAAAACAAAAAAAGTACAATCACTTTGATAAAAACATAAATAGATCAAAGAGATAATGTGGTTGCTTCCCATTCTGGAAAGTAAATGCATCCTGGAAATAAACATATTTAGAGGGAATATTAATCAGTTGAGAAGTTTCTAAAAAAAAGATTTGAGAAAACTATTTTTCTCTTATTGCCAGAAGTTATCCAGTAGTGTTGTTTTCTGCAGAAAGTATTTTTTATGCTTTAGGAGTTGTAGGGAGTGAAAAATAATATTCTTGGATTGCCTTTTTGAGTTTGGCACAGTCTGAAAGTGAGACTCAGCAGTTAGGAATCAATAAAGAGGAAAAGTTGGATTCGAGGACACGACTGGGACTTATCTAGAGGGTTTCCCAAAACTTCATCTCTGATTTAGACATTTTTGTCTACCCAGACACTTGGGTGCATAGCTAGACAACTACAGGATTCCTGTCCAGGGGTTTTTCATGCCTTATAGCCAATGCAAATGCACCCATTTGGAGGAAGGCAGATCTGAGATAAAGAACATCAAAGAGAGGGCTGCAATTATTGGGTCTTTTCTACTAAACCCACAATTAGGTAAGTCAGTTCCTCTCCAGGAGAGAGTGAGGAGTGGGGAGAATATCCTGGGCTTTCATTCTAATTTCTCTCCTAAATTTTTTGAAACTTTTCACACATTTTAAAAGTACTGCTTGTTTCTGGAGAGCCAGAGTTTACTCCAAGGAGTCATTAAAGGGCTGCCTGCTCATGGGTGATCCTTAGATCAACAAATGTCTCTGCTTCCCTGTGAAGCAGGTCACAGCAGTGGGACCAGGACCTCTGGAAGGCAGCCAGGATGATGGAAGTTCCAGGAGTCCAGGCAGAAGAAGACTTGGGTTTTTAGTACAAAGACAGAGACTGAGGGGCTGTGGGACCCGTTCTCCCAACAGTAAATGCTGTTTTAAGAGGAGAGCAGATGGACATCTCTGTTTCCAGCAGGCCGTGCAGATCCATTGGTGGGTACTGAGAGAAGGCAGCTCTTCGCTAAGTATAGAAAGAGATTCTTAAGACAAGTAAAGCATAGAATTACCTTCAAAGAAAGCACCCTTCAGGAAAAGTGTGCAAACAGAGGCTGCCAGATGGCATAGAGGAGATTTTTAGACTTAATGTGAAGTTGGATCAATGTTTCTAAGGAAAAAAAAAAGGCGGGGGGAGAAATCCTACTTTCAGGAAAAGATATTGTAAAAAGAGGCAGAGCTAAGGTGTAGTTGGAAAACAAACAAAAAAAGGAAAGGCATTACCTACTGGGTATGTGTTTCTTTATTTATTCTTTTAATTAGAGGGACTTTTAAGAACTCACTTAGACCCAAAATGCAAACTTCTCTTAAATGGCTGAAGAAAACCACTTTCTCCAAGCTGGGTTTATGATTTCTCTTCAAACAAGTCATGTCTGTAGGCTAATAATAGGAGATTGTTTTATTTTTACTTCTAAGCTTTAAAACCACTTTACTTCTTTCTAAAAAAAAAAAAATCACTTATAAAGTATGTCAGGAGCAGGACTATGTGCGAAAACAGAACTCAAGTTCAAGGCAAGACAAACGTTTCTTATGTGCAAGCCTTAGCCTTGGAACAAAAACCAGTCATTGTTAACTAAGTAAAACGTGCATCCAAAGTGCTGAGGAAAAGCAAAGAAAGAGGTCTGTGTCCAATAAACTGCTTGGGATAGGTGGGGTCCCTTTCAGCTTCACTGCTTCTTTGAGTCTGTGCCCAAGGACTTCTTAACCCAGAGATAGACGTGGATTCCATGGGGAGGAATAATGGCACAAGGTGAGCCGTAGGTGGTGACTGTCACAACTTATGTTCCCACCTGGGTCAGAAAGGTGAGTGGCAGGTGTTCCTCTATGGCATCTCGGTGTGTTTCATTGTGAAAGGTCTGTAGGTGCAAAGGTTCCATTAATGTCTACATCCCCCACCAGGCTGTCCTCTCCAAGGGGCAGAGGCTGTATTTCCTTTTACTCACCACTTCATCTCTCCCGTGCCTAGCACAGTACCTGGAATATCACAGGCTCTTTCTCCGTAGATATTTCTCAATGTGAGAATAATACAAAGGGGCTTTAAGAAAATAAACCCAGTGATCAAAAATGACCAAGTATCTGGAGTTGTGAAACTCATAGAGACAGAAAGTGGAAGGCGCTGGCGGGAGAGAAAAGGGAGAATTTAAAGGGTTACAGGGTTGTTTCACTTTGAAAAGATGAAAAAGTGCTCGAGTTGGTTGATGTGATGGTTGCACAATAATATGAATTTACTGCCACTTAACTGTACACCTAAAAATAGTTAAGAGGGTAAATTTTATGTTCTGTGTATTTTTCCATAATAAAAAAAAATGAAAAGAATGACTTCCTGAGGAAGGAGGGGGGCTATTCTAGTGGAGTCTCAGAGCTCACCCAACGGGTGCCTCTGATGTGTAGGAACGGGGTTCACACAGAATGTGCTGGTGAAAGGAGGCTCCTCAGGTTATGATTTGAAAAGACGTTTATCCAGGCCGAGCGAGTCATTAGAGATGATAACTGGGCTGCTCTCTCTTCAGGTTTATCATGTTTCACTCGGAGAAGGGAAGTCAGTTTACCGATTCCTCAGTCATGGGTGGGACTGTGCCCAGTTCAAACAGACAAGTGGTTTTAAGTTCTCTAATGTCTGGGCCAGGGCCTGCTTTAACCCCCTATGGGTTTTCTCAAGTCGTCTCTCTGAAGTTGAGTTTGAGGCCTGGAAAAGGAAATCCAATGACTAACCGCGAGCTTTGGCTTGTCTGTTTTGAAGGGGCAGGTGCAGGGGGCAGGAATTCTGCCCGTCGATGGAGCAGGTGAGGCTCGGCTACCTCAGGACCTGCCGCGGCTCTCCTCTGGCCAAGAGAGCGGCGCCCAAGGCCTGCCCCTGCCTGCGGACACGCCTTCTGCGGAAGAACACGAGTGTGTCTCACCCGACGACATCTCCTTGCCTCCACTGCCAGGGAGCCCCGACTCCCCCCTCGCACTGTCCGACATGGAGGTAGAAGAACACGCCAGCCCCTCTCTCAGCCTTCACGTGAGCAGCGACAGGATGCAGATGGGGGCCAGGGGGCCAGGGGAGGCCCAGGACTGTGGCCTTCCTCCACCTGCTGCTTTTGCTGATACTTGCAATGATGGGAGAGACACATTTTCAAGTCATTTTGAGAAGCCTTTCCCCCAGTTCAAAGCTGAGCCCCCATTCACCTGCAGAAGGTTTCTGGAACAGAGCACAGCCATCTGCAAAACCCATGCTGACCATCCTGGGAGCATGCCGAGTGGAATGCATGAGGGAGCTTGCCAGCAGCACCCGCGGGCTCGGGAGAGTGTGCTAGAAACACGGGAGGAGATGCATGCTGCTAATAACGGCACTAAAAACCGAGACAGGCTGCATGCTTCGCAGGACGCGCCCTCGGGCCTCGGCTTTCAATTAGGCCCCAGCCAGGTCCATCAGAGGCAAGTGGTTTCCCAGGAAGAGATGAAAAGTACGTCAGCCAAGAACAGCGTGGTCAGCCTAGCTGGCCAGGCACCCAGTTTCTCCAGGCTCCAGTCTAATGTCACTGTCGTGGAAGGTTCTCCAGTGACTTTGGAAGTTGAAGTAACAGGATTTCCAGAGCCTACACTGACATGGTGGGTAGCCTATAATGATGAGCCTTCACCAGAAACTGATTGAATCTCTGAGGGAATCTTTGTGGGCACTAACTTACAGGGACAGGGGGAGCTGATTAACAGTCACCAGCCCTGCAACTCTGCATGATGCACCCTCACACCAACCCCCAACCCTCATCTTAGGAGCTGCATGCTAACCCCTGAAGCAAAAAAAAAGTAGCCATATAAAATAATAACAAACTGCAAAAGCACTGTGACTTCACTGTGCTCTTGTATCCATTTAACATTCCACGTTTCTAAAGATGGTGAGTTGAAATGCTTTCTTGTTGTTTATTTTTGCATAAGCATGACATTTTCTTGGTTTAACGTCCCTAATTCAATTAAAAAATAAAAAGACACATAACCTGGTTTCCCCTTTTTCTTTCATTTGCCTATCTCAACTTCTTTCTCTTCCCAGCAGTCACTACGGTCACTTTTGCAATCTTGTTTGTTTTACTAAGATTTCTTTTTATTCATTTCTTCAGTGTGAGAGGTGGGATAAAAAAAAATATTTCATTCACAGTTACTTGCAGCGACAGGCAATAAACACATTTTTGAAAGGTGGCACAATAACTGAGCTGTAAACAATGCGATTTCACTCTGGAGACATTATTATTTTTTAGCCTATTTGTTTTTAAAAATATATTTTATTGATTTTATACAGAGAGGAAGGGAGAGAGATAGAGAGTTAGAAACATCGATGAGAGAGAGTCATCGATCAGCTGCCTCTTGCACACCCCCTACTGGGGATATGCCCGCAACCAAGGTACATGCCCTTGACCGGAATCGAACCCGGGACCCTTCAGTCCCCAAGCCGACGCTCTATCCATTGAGCCAAACCGGTCCCGGCTAGCCTATTTGTTTTTAATGGGAGTAAACTGCAGAATACAGGTTTTGAATCACATCCTGTTGCTATGAAAACAATTGTAACGTTCTCAATACTTGGGTTACTTTTGAACATTTTAGAAAATGTTCAACCTTAAGCATATTTATTTGAGGACAAAATTATACATTTGTGGGTACGAGCTCATGTTTCTAAACTACAATAAGTAAAATAACATGTATTTATCGTAATGTTTCAGTCGGTATTAAGTGATCGGTTTCAGTAATTGTGTGTGCCCACTGATGGTATTTGAAGTGTCAGTTAATTAAAGAATTTATGAGAAAACTTTGGTTTCTCGGATTATTAAAAAAAAAATTGCACTTGTGCTATAGTGCAGCTTTTGTGCTTTTTGCTTTATTTTGTTGTTTTTACAATTGCATGGTTTTTTACAGATTAGGAATTTAATATTTATGAATTTAAAAGATATTTAATTCATCATTAAATATCAGTTTACCCCAAAGAAAAATGTCTGAAGTGTTTCTTATTTTTGTCCACATAACAAATAATTTGATTAGTACATATTCTTGAAGAACTATTGCAACTACTAGGTATAGTGGTTAATAATGGCGAATTTTGAAATCAAAGAAAACAAGCTAATTTCAGGAGAAACATCAAAAGTGCTTTATTCAAAGTAATGTCCATCGCTAGCTACACATTTCCCCACCTTCAGGTAATTTGTAGATACTGTTCCAATAGAACTTTTCTTGTTTTGAGGCAAACCATTCAGAGATCCAATTTCCCACTTATTTGTATGTTTTAAAGTGCTGCTCAGAAAGTACCTGTGCCATCGATCAGAACAAGTGGTAATTGAAGGAGCAAGGTCTGGTGAATACTGCGGGTGGGTTAATACTTCACAGGCAAGATCTTTTAAAGTGCCTTTAACTGGTTTTGAAGTGTGTGATGGTGCATCATCATGAAGCAAAATTACTTTGCTGTGTCTTCTGGAACATTCTGGTTGTTTCACGATGAAAGCATAGTTCAAATTAATTATTTGTTGTTGGTAGCGAGCAGTATTAACTGTTTCACATGGTTTTAGAAGCTCATAATACACCACACCTTCCTGATCCCACCAAATACAGAGCATTGTCTTTTTTCTGAAGTGATTTGGCCTTGAAGTCGATGTTGAGGATTGACCTGGATCATCCCATGATTTTGTACATTTGGGATTCTCAATATAAATCCATTTTTCATTGCCAGTCACAATTCAATGCAAAAAAGACTTTCTTTCATGCCATTGAAGCAATGTTTTACTGATGACTTTTCAGTTTTCCATTTGTCTTTCATTCAGTTGATTGGCACCCATTTTCCTTCCTTTAAATTCTTTTCTATTGCTTGTAAATGATCAGAAATTGTTTTTGAGTTTGACACACATCTTCATCCATTAATGCTTGCAGTTGTTGGTCTTCAAACTTTTTTGGTTGACCTGGATGTACTTTGTAGTTCACATTGAAATCATCACTTTTGAAACATTTAAACCACCTTTCACAAATATCTTGAGATGGAGCATGTTCACCATAAGCTTCCCGCCAAAGTATATGTTACCTTTTTCTTCAAAATAATGTAATGAATTAAAACTTCCCACCAATGCTCTATTTTTTGGGCATGAAATTCAATATTTTTAAGCATTAAAAAATATCTATGATGTTAACACCTTCAGCAAATTTGACATATGAAGTTTTGAAGCTTGCTGTCAATACAACCAAATAGCATACAATACAACCAAATAGCATAGATATCAAATATATATATCAACGTATGTGTAACTCCCATCTATTGAAAAACTCCACATTATTAACTGGTACACCTAGTATAATACTGAAGGACTATTGTAAGAAAACATTTTACCCTCAGATTTGTAATTTTTTCTCCATTAACAACTGGTGAGCTATCATACATTTTTAGGTTACTTGGAAAAATGCAAAATTATCACTTAGGCCATGAGAACAGAAAACAATTCAGGTTTGTCATCACTTCCTGTGTAGAAGAATGTGCGTATTGATAAGTAAAGAATCTAGAATATACAAAATATACAAGTTTATTTGCTTTAGAAAAATATGCTGCTAAGTGCTCATGTTCATAGAAAACTTTTAGAAATATGTCATTAATAGTAATAATCCAGTTGTATAAATCCTTTTATAATTACAAACAATTTTCTTCTAATGAGATTCATTCATTAATGAAATGAACTCATTTCTCTAGGAAATGCTATATAAGTACCTTCCTCACAACACATTGGTATTTCCTTTCTTTTTTCTTTCTTTGTTTCTTTGTTTCTTTTCTTTTCTTTTTTTTTTTTCTTCACATTGCTATTTTCACGTGGGTCATATGGGATGAATATAATGGAGCAGATGAAGGTCACTCCAATACAGGTTCCAGATGCCACAAACTGCTGTTCCATCGCAGCTGGAAGAATGAGGGGGGCCGAATAGGAGGGTACCATTTCCCATTCTAGATAATTGCTATGAGCAAATGGAGCCCCAGTGTGACCAGATGGTCTGCTTTTTTGGGAGTAGTTGGGTATCTAAATTTTCATATGCAACATTCCAATTGTTAATTGCTGTAAAAAAATTTGGCTTTTAAAAACATGGTTTGAGGCAATCAGGCACTTCTCTGGCCACCAGCTACCACTGCCCCTTTGGAATCTGTGGTAGCTGCAAAGCCCCTGCTCCTACTAGAAATTGGATATGATGTGAAGAAACAGATGATCTAACATCCATCACCATTGCCGTGGTGATGGATTTTAGAAATTGGATATAATGTGAATAAACAGTGACCCTGATTTTAAAAACCGACTCTCTGCTTCAGGTACAAGAAGGGCCAGAAATTGCCTGCTGATGGACACTTACAGGTTATGCACAAGGAGACGAGACACGCGGTGTTCATTCCGAAGGTATGCCGGGCAGACGCAGGCCTCTATGTGGCACGGGCCCAAAACGCTAGTGGCATTCTCTCTTCCAATGTCATCCTCCACGTGACAGGTAACCGCAGGCCGCCCATCACAAGGATAAACTGGATAATGCTGTGCGTCATCTATGTGAGTGTGTCGTTCGTGTACTGGCTGCTCAGACAGTAACTGTGGCGTTGGCACCCATGGACGTCATTCTCACAAGCCTAAAGAACAATACTGTTGTTTATTTTCCTGCGTTTCCCACAAAGCATCTCCCATCAACTGGATCTCCTTTCCGGCCATACTGCTTGTTTGGCTAATACCACAGTTCAATGAAATAAAATAATCCAGTTTTCTTTAGTACTTTAATCTATTTGAGGAGCTTAGAAAATTATTTGCCTTGGATAAGGGTACATTTTTTTTTTTTTTGTATTCTAGAGAGAGTTGGGTTTGATATAAAATAGCGAAATTATGCTGTGTTTGTTCCTTCCTAATTTAGGAGCATGCAGATCAAGGCTCATAGCATAGAGAAGTGAGTCAAATTTTAAATCCAGTTGTTTGAAAATTTATTTTTAATTGTACTCCTATTCATCTCTTTGTGAAATAACAGTGGAAATAGTGAACTGAAGTTGTCATTTTCATTATTGCGTTATGTGTCCTTTAATTTTGTTTTTCACGTCTTGATCTCATTTATTGAAATATATCCTATGTTTCAACATAGTCCACATTCCTGGGTCTGAGGATGCTGCCATAAATAACCGCTCCTCATGTTGCTCTCACAAGCTTGCCTTTGGAGATTAGATGTGCAGCTCCAACTTTAAATGGAGTCTCAAAGTTCCAGAGCTATGCTTGTCATAGAATAAGATGGAACACAGGCAATGCGGGGGACCAACATTATTCCTGCCATCCCATTGACAGGTGTGAGGCAGCCATGTTCTACCTGCTTCCAGTTTTGATTCTGCTGCTGACCATGTTTGCAGCCTATGGTAAGGCCTATCAGTGCCTCAGTTTTCCATTTGGAAAATGGGGTCATCATCTACCTCTTGGACAATTGAGAGTTTTCATTTCATATCTTATAAAAATCTATGAAATTTTAAAAAGCATGCTATGAAGACTAAGGGTAATTATATTGTTTAATGTAATTTGGTATCACACTGCCTCCTGTCTACTATTTCTCTTCCAGATGTTGCTTCCTCAGAATATTAAATTAAAGGAGTGGTGTTAGTATGTGGTCTCCAACTGTTCACATATGAGAAAATGATGTTCTATGAATTGGAGCTTTAATTCCTTTCTGATTTCTTAAGACTATATCCTTTGCAGAAACTTGAAATTAAATTCAGGAGGATGCATTTAGTATGATCTGGGGGCAGGAGGGACGGTGTGTAGTAAATGACATAAGATGAATTCTATTCTTTCTTATAATTATCACTGTGATATTGAAGAATGTTCTATGGCTTTCTGAAATATAATATATTACTTAGAAAAGAGGATCGTCATTTTAGCTCCTTTAAAAATAGACGTAAATAAAAGCTGCATTTATTTTTTAGATTTTAAAAATAGTCTTGTCATGCTAGGGTTAAATCTTGAGTTGAAAGAATAATTCATTATAGTTTTTTTGAAGAAGGGAAGGAATTAATCATGTTGCTATAACACTGTCTACAAATAATAAAATATTTAAATGTAATATATTCAAGTTGGTATTTAAAAGTTACTGAATGTTAACTGAAGATGCGAAGTGTGTGGTTGAGTAAAAAGTTGCATCTGTTTTCTTGTGCTCCATATTTAGTTCAATTAAAATATTAAATCTCTTAATTTTCTCTCAATTTTTGACATAAACTTATTAAAAGCTTATATGCACAGCATCTCAGGAAATACATGGTCTCTTAACTCTCCTATCCTTTTGGTCCAGCTCCAAGTATTTTGCATATCTCGCCTAAATGTTGAAACTAAAGAGTGAGATCTATTCATGTCCAAAGCAGATAGGCGGGACCAAGGAACAAATTCTTGCCCCACCCTCTGTCTCTGTCTGATAATTTAGTGGGATCTCCTTTCCCATTTTGTCAGCTTGTTTGAATCTGTGGTATTTAGGGGACTGGAGCTCGCCGATTTACTTCACCTGTTGCCTGCGTGTTACTATCAATCCTCTGGGGAGCAGGGTGGGACATACATACATTCATGGTGTATGAACAAATAAGATATCTAAAGCCCCTGCTATATTTGATGTACATATAAATATAAGATTGTGCATATATATGTGCATATATACACATACATAGAGTCCAAATGTTGGAAAAAAGACAGTATGCTGATATTCATGATATATTTCAGATAGCTCTCTGTGTATTTCTGTGTCTATCTGTGTACCTACCTACCTATTTTTCTGGGCTCTCAATTAACTACTTAGTAATTCCCACAGCAGTAAAAAATAAGTAGCTATTGGTTATATTTATTTTTAATATATTTTTATTTATTTCAGATAGGAAGGGAGAGTTAGAAACATCAATGATAAGGGAAAATCATTGATTAGCTGCCTTCTGCATGGCCCCCACTGAAGATGGAGCCTGCATCCCAAGCATGTGCCCTGACTGGGAGTTGCACTGTGACCTTCTGATTCATAGGTTGACACTAAACCACTGAGCAATACTGGCCGAGCCAATTGGCTATATTTAAATTTCAAAGCATGATTTTCCTTTTTGCTAGGATTTCTGTCTTGATCAAAGAATTCTTCTTATGAAAATATGATCTAAAATTATGGGTTAAAATGGAAAACTTAGGAACTTCAAATAATGATCCTATTTTAAGATATAGTTATGATTTTTGCCCATTTACTTCTAGAAAAAATTCTGGACAGTTAGTAATATCAGAACAGTTTTTCAACAAGAAAATGAAAATGAGATGAAAGACTAAAGAGAATATGTACTTGACACCTTAAAGGAGAGCTTCCTATAAGCAAAATCACTGAGTCCCCCAGTTCTGACTTCCTAATAAGAGTATGTATAAACATTTTGTTGTAAAGTTTTTCTCACATTGAATTCCAGGAGAAATATACTGTACAAATCCTTACATCCGAATCTCTGCATATTTTATAATACCTAAAATAGTTGGGGGGGGGGGAATCAGGAAAAAAAGTTAGCTATTTCATTCATAATGTTAACATATAGTCAAGACACAGGCTTAAAATAGATCACTGTAAAACCTTCTAACTGCTTCACTTAAGTTTAAATTTCTTCACATAGGATATGAGACCCTTCCCTACTTGGCCTCCCCTTCCCAGCTTCTGTTCCCACTCCTTCTGACCTCTCCTCCCCACAAAGCAATATTTAACTTCATGCTCTTTTTTTCTCCCTAGTCCTTTCTCTCGTACTCTATTCTATCCCATCTATCGATACATGTAGCTTACCTGCTGCTTACTTTTCCAGTTCCATGTGAGACACTTCCCCCAGGAAGCCTTCTGAGCCACTGGGGGAAGTGCAGATGTTCCTGCTATGTCAGCACCAGAGCCGCCCATCCTCATGTCCTTCAGTACACAGCATCAGAATTGCATGTTCCAGCATCTGTCTCCTCTGGCGAGAGTAAGAGATCTTTTTTAGCAAGATCTTGACATTCTTGTTCATCATTATATTTTCAGCACCTAATATTACATGATTTGAATTATTGTCAGAAGTAAACAAAGATAAACTTAGCTTGTTTTTTCTTTTTGGAGGGAAGGAGTGGGGGGAGTAAAAAGAGAACAATATATTTGTTCCCTGATTATTCTTTTAAAAATATATATGTTATTGATTTTTTTTTTACAGAGAGGAAGGGAGAAGGATAGAGAGCTAGAAACATTGACCATCTGCCTCCTGCACATTCTCTACCAGGGTTATGCCCACAACCAATGTACATGCCCTTGACTGGAATTGAACCTGGGACCTTTCAATCCACAGGCTGACACTCTATCCATTGAGCCAAACCGGCTTCAGCAGATTATTCTTCCTTATTGTGAACATTGCCCAGTAATTATCTGCTTCTAGCCAGGAAGAATGTATAAAACACCTAACCTAAAAAAATTAAATAAGAATTCTCCAGATTCTCTGAGCTAGATCCGGATAGATGCTGGCTGTAGTGGTCAAAACAATACTGCAGAGAGAAGAGGCAACATCCAGGGCCATTGTTCCAACATGTTAAAGCAGATAAAATCAGACACAGTCATCTTCAGGTGTCAGTGCAGAAGTGGTGTCTCCACGCTCAGTGACTATGCCCTGCCTGCCCAAACCAGAAATTACACACTTCTTTAGAACACTCCACATATTATCAATGTTTTATTGCCATGAGGGCTCAGTAATCTGGTTGTAAATAGATTTTATTTGAAACCAGCATTTCATTCATATATGTACTTGAATTCCAAATGAAGGAAGGAAATAATAAGGCACCTTGTTCTACTTTATTTTTATTCATGACCATTCCTTACTACCCTGTTTCCCCGAAAATAAGACAGTGTCTTATATTAATTTTTTCTCCCAAAGTTGCTCTAGGTCTTATTTTCAGGGGATGTCTTATCTTTCCATGCTCTAGGTCTTATTTTCAGAGGATGTCTTATTTTCTGGGAAACACAGTAGAAATTGCTATCTGAAGCTTTTTTTATCCTTAATCCTCACCTGAGGACATGTTTTTATTGATTATGTAGAGAGAGAAAAGGAGAGAGAGAGAGAGGGAGAGAGAGAGAGAGGGAGAGAGAGAGAGAGAAAGTGGTTCGGATGGATTGCCTCCCATACATGCCCAACCTGGGATCAAACCCACAATCTGGGTATGTACCCTGACCAGGAATTGAACCCCAAGGGGCCAGGGCACTACAATATTTTTAATGTATCCATGAAATAGGTTAGTTGAAACAAAATAAAATATTTCCTCCTAATATGCTCTGATATTGTGCTTGTCGAAGCAAATGCCAAAGCATGACACACTGTTTTCCAGTAGTAATAAGCAGAATCTTGAGCTACATCAGAAAGCCAAAAGATTTGCATTTCCGAGTGAAAGTGTCCTACTTAAAGCAACACTTCAGTTTCTCTGCTTTTATCATGAGATGAGATTTGAATGTTGTCAGGTGTATATCAGTTAAACCTCAAATGGGAACTAAAAAGCTACTAATTTGTCCTTTACCCATGAACCCCCACACCACTGCTCCTGGTGTGGTGAGAATGTGCGTCACATCATGCATCGCCTAAGCATCGGTGGCTGGATGTATGACATGCCACCAGATGAACAGTCTTTGATTCTTGTCTGATTGGCCAAGTAGCTCTTCCTTTTGTTCAATGGATATTTCCTCCTTTTTATAAAATAGGAGAAATTTTTATTTTATTTACTCCTTAAACTAGGAGGATTTAGTTTTCCTCCTTTTATAATGGAGGATTAAAAAACATCCTTCTTGCCGAAACCGGTTTGGCTCAGTGGATAGAGCTTCGGCCTGCAGACTGAAAGGTCCCAGGTTCGATTCCGGTTAAGGGCATGTACCTTGGTTGAAGGCACATCCCTTGTAGGGGGTGTGCAAGAGGCAGCTGATCGATGATTCTCTCTCATCCATGTTTCTAACTCTCTATCCCTCTTCCTTCCTCGCTGTAAAAAATCAATAAAATATATTTTTTTTAAAAAGAAAAAAATCCTTCTTATTACACCATAAAATTAACATCCTCTCCTCATTAAAAGACAGGGAACAGAAAGAAATGTATAGTCAAGAATGTTTGAGTGCATATACTTCTCTGTAGCACAATAAAAAATAAAAAATAAAAAACCCTGGGAGTAGCTGGAAAACATTGATCCAACCTGATTTTTCTTTAAACCAGAACAATAATAGTTATATAACTTGAAGTTTTCCATCTGTATTTGGATGGCTCCCTGCTATGGCCTTTCCCCACCCCCATTTAGAACCCATGTAAGTCAATACTTGTGAAATCCAGCTCCGGAGATCGCTAATGAAATATACCCTTCCCTTTGTCATCCAACAGCTGTTCCCTTCCAAGAATGTTATTGATTCAAACAACTTCAAATGACATTTTTATCTTACACTGGCATTAAAAATCATTTAATAAAATCTTTCAGAGATAAGAATTCAAAAGATGAACTTTAAAGAAACATACTTTACTCATGGCAAATAGTCTTTAGCCCATATTATGCTAGTGATGCTAGAAAGTCTCCTTTCTATGTAATAAGTATTATGCAAACCCACACATAGACAGGCAAACCAAACAGTTGGACACACAGTAGGACAACAGTTACCTGGCAGAATTAAGGCTAAGATGCCCACCTGCTCCACAGCCTTCTCTAGCAACCATCACCATGCCAACCCTCAGAGGTCTGCCTTTGATGGAAGTTGATGCAGCTCTAGGCAATGCCTTTTTAAATGCCCGTTTACTCATTTCTACCACTCTTCAGGGAGTAGTAGAATTATTTAACAAATCCTGGTCAGGGTTATCAGATTAAATGAAAATCTCCCCCCCACCCTTAAAAAATGAAAAACTAATGATGATTCTTGTAAGGAAATGGGATCTGTGGAAACCAGAAAGAGTTAGGCTGCATGCTGTGTCCTCCTAAGTGCTGGGAAATGCAGATAGGAAGCGAAAAAATAACCAAACATCAGGGTTCCATCTTCCTTCTCAGTGTGAATTTCCTACAGATTCAGGAAACACATGTGTATGTGAGGAGAAAATGTAAATGTATGTGGGGATCCCCTGAGAGGAAGGCAGAGGCCATAAAAACATGTGTCTGCATGATATTTCTGTCACCCAATTAGAGGACCATTCTGGGCAGAATAGGGTGTCTGGTAGTCCCTAA